GAGAGAAAGGAGGGAGCAAAGATGACATCTTTTTGCAATATAAAATACAAATAAATAAATGTGCAAAGCCCTCGAGGCTTAATTAAGCACTGAAAACTAGTATTACATAAGACTACATCCGGATACTCCCCCGCACCGACGTGACCCCTTGCATAATCAGTTACAATAATTAAGTTTGATGAGTGAGGATACTAACCTTTCCAGTACCATATCATAGGGGAAGTTACACTCACCTTACATATGTGCCATGGGCAAGTGACAAAGTTTTAGCAATCTCAGTTGCTGTGTATCCTGCTTTGAAATAATAACTAGTAATAAGATTTTCCATTGCTTGCTTTCCGCGTGCCAAATGTGCAGAAGTTCCGCAGCAAAAAGCTGTCCGCAGAAAAAAGTCGAAAAGTCGCAAACTCGAAAAGTCGAAAACTCTAAAAGTCGCAAACTCTAAAAGTCGAAAAGTCGCAATATCCAATAGGGGCCACCATAGTAAAGTGACTGGTGCGTTACTGAAAAGTGTTTGAAAGCGAAAAAGATATTGCTTGATGTGCTCACTCAATGCTTGGACTACAAGTGGTAAATGCTGGTAAGACATAAGTAAAAAATTCCTTTCAACGAGTGTTTCCACCAACTTGCAAATATTTGTTCCATGTTGAATGCTTTCACCAACTTACAAATATATATTCTTAATTAAGGCTATTATTAAAAAATCAAAGCACCAAAAATGAATTAAACTTATTTCTTTAATCTCCTATTCCTATTGTGTATAAATACCGGAGCAATGCGCTCTCGATAATTTCCAGCACATATGGAACGTGCCGAATAGGCAGGTGAGGAGACTTGTGGTTCGCAGTTAATAACAAGATGCTCGCATTCAGGATTTTTACAGTCGAAACATGAATTCAGTTTGAGTCATTAATTCGGCGATCGCAATCAAGTATCCACAATTGCTATTAGGCTATCGCAATCACAAGTAACAAAAGGCAATTTTGTTTACTATGCCTACTGTACAGAATATAATGACAGAGAAAGTATTCATATCTAGTTCCGACAAACAGTAACTTGTGATGCCAAAAGAAGTGATAAAATAAATTAATTAAAGAGGCAAATAACAAATAAATATGTTGAGATAATTGATCGACGGGCACTTCAAACTAGATTTCCACCTATGTTAACTTGCTTTTAGATAATCACGGATTAGAATGCAACACCTGAACCCAAAGATACAATAAAACGAAATGCGTATGCATTTTCTAACTTACTCATTTGTCCACTCCCTATACTCCTGAAAATGTTCTTAAATATTACATCTATTGTGTCTCACCTGGAGTACATTCTTGCTTGAATCATACCAATCCGAACCTATGTAATACGTAAATAATGCATCTGTCCAAAAATCTACATGCGTTTTTTCCAAAGCGTTTTGGAAGTTCCACGTATTTTGAATATTAGTGTTGAAAACGTACCAACCACCAATACCGTCCGAGCTCATAACAACATTTTGGATGAATGGTTTTGCGTAGTTTCGTTCCTTAATGTAGGTGTTAATGCAGGAGCTGAACAAGTTTTTTGCTTTCTTTTCTGACGCCCAATCTACATTTCTCTTTATTGGTTGTTCTAATATGTCTTGCAGTTTTTTCTGATTCTCGTCATAAATTTTCCAGAATATGGTTCTCTGGGAGTCGGAATGAAGTGGATGCCAGAGAGGCCACTGGCTGCAGGCGTAAGAATAGAAATCGTCACACGGTTTCACGGACAAGTTCATGTTGGACAGCATATAAGCAGCCGTATCAAGACATCCTTGCTCCAAGCAAATATCTGGATGACTTGGGATGTGAACCCCCGGGGATGTCTGGGCGGCCGTACCAGGACTGTTACCATTTCCTCCCCCTTGGTGGGCGTAAACCCCAACCAATGCAGCCAAAGCAATGCTGACCACGAGTACACTCGCCAAAACACCGATTAAAATTATTTCTCTCCTTTTCATTGAATAATAAATAAACTTAATTGGATTTCCAGGTGGTTCATCGTCGTTTTTAAACGGTTCCCCAACTCCTCCCATGTTTTCTACCACCTTGAATGATGGCACTATTCGAAGAGTAAAATCATGTATAATGAAGTTCACAGTTTCTACATGGTGTTTTATACCTACCTTGCTTGCATAATTCATTTATGGGGTTTCGTAAAATCACATGGTAACAGATCGTGCGAGGACATAACAGTCACTTAATTGGCACGGCCTATTTAGCTAAACACAACCCTGCATTTAAGACTGTTCGTATTCGCTATTGCTTCAATAGCTGCTGACCAAAAAGGTTATAACGATAATAATTAAAGAAAAGTGGATTAGGCCTGTACATCTAACATCAGACATAAGTTTTCATTCTTATACACCAAAAATTGTATGGCCATGATTCACCCCACGAGAAAAGCTGATCTATGTGAATCTTGGCCAATATTTATGTAGATCTAGGAAAATGATATTTAGGCATTTAGAAATGTAGTTAAGATAAAACATTGTATGAAATCTTTTTAAAACTTTCTCCCTTTTCATAGTAATTCAACAAACCAAAGACTGAATGTCTGAAACAACAGTGGTTGAAAAAGATGGCACAAGGATGGATTTTTGATGTCAAAATTCACATAGAATTTTGAGTGTCTTTAATTAGAAAGAAGAAAGTTGCAATTAAAATTATACTTTTTGTTCGTTTTTCTAACAATTTTTTCATCATGTCAGCAATTTTAATAATAATGTTTTCATTAGAAAAATCAGTATCTCCATATATTCCACGATTACTCACATTTCTTAATTCTTTAAATTCCTGGCAGTTCTTAGAATACGTAGTCGGTGTGAAAAAAAAAAAAAAAAAAAAAAANGTGGCATTTAGTCTCATATTGTTTCTTTAAATAATAAGGGTGACAGCAATTATTATTCCATACTTGGCGCCTTGGTGATCACTGGGACTTTGTAGTTCCAGGGGCATATGCAGTTTGAGACTGTAAATGAAATGTGTATTATTGCATGGGAAATAAGTTGAATATGTCTGTTATTGTTTATACATGCATTTCTACTATTAGTCTCAACATTCTTCTGAGCGCAAGTTTTGCCCCCCATATGATATCTCGTGATATCTGAAATGTTGGCCCTGGTTCCCGAATTTGCCACTTGGATTGTTTGTGTTTTAGGTGAATGTAGAAAGTATAGGCTCTTATACACTGTAGTCCGTCCACCTCCAATAAAACTCGGCCAAGACCTCGTATAGTCTCAACCTATGAGTTAATTTTAAAAAATTCTCAAATAGCTCGTCGTTCAGAAAATCTTGATATTTAAATAAAAAAAATATAAAATCTCACCTCATCAAAATAATCCAAATTGTATAACAGCATTATGTGCGTTTAGTTCGTTGAAATGGTGAATAAATTATTATTAGCATATAGAGAATAACACCGGTGTAACGGATTCGACCTCACTTTTCTCTACGTTGTTGGTTATTCATCCAGCCTCCTTACTCATGAGCCTGTGTGGACGCTGCTGCCAACCTACTGTAGATTACCGATACTTTTGGCTTTGATTTTACAATAATTGCACGGACATTAATTATGTAGGATTTGCGTTTCTGTGTATATATTGAAAGGAAATTATGTCCGACGGCTGGGAATCTAGGTCCGGGTAAGACAGTACATCCTAGGGAACAAAGTCCATAGGACATGTTTTCCCAGGAACGGAGGTCCCACGGACCTCCGTTCCTGGGGGACATGCATTCCTTGACGCCGGCTCCGCCTAACAGTAAGTTCACCAGTATTGCGTTAAAGAGAGTAAATACAGGGGTATATACAAGTCACGCGATAGAAAAGTACTTAGTTCAATCTCAGGCAGCACACATGCTTCAACTGTAAGGTTCGGTATTCATTCCGCTATTTTCGTAAAATCTTCATTTGATTTTCGAGTCCGGTCTAGTCAGAACGGCCTGTACATCACTTATGTCAAGAATAGCAGACGAACGTTACAAATGTAAAAAAAAAGCACTATGACAAGACGTTTAATTCTAATGTACTTAAACTTTATCTCTCTAATATCATTTAATTAATTACTGCTATTTTACATGTAAAAATTTGTTCGCTTTACCTGTTAAAAATATCGTCCAGACAACCAGGAAGCAAGTTGTCCTCGGCAAGGCAGCCATCTCTTCTTTCTTTATCACTCACAGTTGACACATACCATATGTAGCGCATTGCTGTTGTGTTACCGGTATTGTCCCTCGGGTATGGTGACAAAAGAAAATTTCTCTACGCGCTTGAGGATGAAAAAGTAGAATAAACATACTTGCAACCGGTGATGTCCTTTTAGATTGGGGTCGGGGAGTTGAATAGGATGTTAAGAAATGAAATCTGATATATATGGCTGTTTGTCCACGGTGTGACTGATATGACGTATGCATAGCAATAATGTTCGCGTAATATACACAATCGCATTGTCCGAAAAATTGTGGCTGTTGATGTAATGTAAATATGTTGTACTCGAGACATCAGGTGGTGTAGGCCTATATTATGCTTTTTTTTCAACTATTCTGAATCGATGATGTATACCGTTGCTCAAAATAGTGATTATACGTAATATATCCATGGATTTTGTTCCAAATATCAAATTTTCTGTAATGCACAGCTATATAATTAATTATACAAAATGTTAAATCGCTATATATGTACAAAAGAAAGAACAAACACGGCGTTGGCGTTTTCCAGCGGCCTCGTTTTTTTTTTTTTTTTTTTTTTTTTTCACATTTTTGTAACATTTCGGTTCCCCAGTAAGACGATGCACTATAGCCATCACATAAGTAAATGGCTGCTTGTTTGTCTTCTTTACCCATCCTTCTTACCGTTTAGCCATGTCTCGGATGTTTGTTGTGTCTCCGGCTCACAGCTTGAAAGGAAAGACGTAGCAAATGATGAGGCAGCAATGCTGTAGAAGGTATCATCTACTACGGCAAACTGCTCAATATCTAGGCATAAACGCCCCTTTTAAAGCCTAGCATGCCCCTAACTCTTTTTGCACGCCGTAACACTTTTTCCTTTACTTTGGAGCTGCCATCCATTGACATGTGCTCATATTTGACATACAGTAGGTCATTTCAAACGGTCATTGATTACTGTAGGGAAGAGAGAAACCAAAATATCAACATATTTAGAGCTTCAAACGCCTATAACATTGTAAAAAAAACCCCACTTCTCGGTTGCTTCCGATGAAAACCACTTGAATGGTTGGTTTTGATATCTAATGCAGTGAGAGATTCTATTTTATGGCCTCTTTTGCTTAGTAATTTTTTTTACATTTCTCGTACACCTCTGCATTACCTCGGGTCAGCGAATTTGACATTGGTGTCTATTTCAATAATTTGTTAGGCTTGTGTTGTCAAAATTTCCATTTCTTACCCCTTAATGTTTGAAAAGTTGTTATAAAAAAAAAGCAAAAGGATACACAGGCTGGCAATATTCAATATTTATTATAAATTATATCAGAGTTGACATATGGCTAGGTTTTTATGTCCTATATGCTACATTGCGCGCATTAGTTATACCTAAGGGATGGTTTACATTGAAGATAACCAAAAAGCATGCTTCGTACAGTCTGCTAAATATATCCTTTCTATTTTTCAGAGATAAAATAATCGATTTCATCTTTCAGCACCTCATGTAGGTTTTACTACAAATGCTGCATGGTGGTGTTTGAATAATCTCACCCGCCCTCCCACGGGTCGCTATTGTGAGTAAAAAGATATTCGGTATTTACGTGTTATGAGTGAATCCGTGAATTTGCAACCAGAAAACAACACTGTACATGGGAGGGTGGAACGATTAAGTGGTTTCTAGTCTAAATGTATGATATGAACAGTAAAGCCGCCTTTACACTGAACGGCGTCCTTTCTGCGTCCTGTAGTACGGTCCAGTTTGAGAGTAAAAAAATAATAATAATTTACGTGCCGGAAAATGGGCGATCATTAAGCATTCTGCAACTAAAGCAATGATTGTGCCTCCTTATTACGACCACAGTGATGCCAGTTTCATCTATCTCACAGAAGACGCAGAAAGGACGCCGTCCAGTGTAAAGGGGGTTTAAGTAGTTGCTCCATTACAGAAAATCGTGAGCACCTTGCGCATTCATTTTTTTCAGTCTCTGTTATCAGGAATATATATATATAAAAAAACCCTCCCCCTTTCTCACCTACAATATTTACCCACCCATAGGTTGCCGTAAGGTACTAGTAACATGTACTATGAAATAATTACATTGCACATCGTAGAACGAGTCATGTCAAGCGAATTAGCCTATTCTCTTATCCATTTACATTGTACGCAGCCACTTGATACTATAACTCTTTCTTTCAAAGATCATAGAGACTTACTTATATTAACATTTTTCAACCTCTCAACTTTTCTTATTTGTTAATCGAGCGCAAATGCGTTTGTTGATTCCAGCAGGTAGAAATGCTGGATACAGCAGCTTTTTGTGGTCCTACTTTTCACGGGAACCAGCGCGTGTGAGCCTTCTGAGTACAAAGATATCTTTCTGAAGGCATGAGTATTTCCCGAGAGATGACCATGTTCGACCGAGTGATTATTCTATGACAACTGCTCAGGTGCTTGCACCCTCCCCTGGTACCTTCTCTATTAGAAATGGCAGGCACAAGGCATATTCCAGGGATTTTAACGCCCTTTTTTCTCCTCTATCAAAAGCTACTGACAAAAAACAACCACAGTTCTATCTTCATAAATCCTGAATAACATGTACTAGTACATATCATATATGTAGTAAACTAATAATAAACTATATGTTTTTACTAATGGCGTTAAATGCAGGAATATAAAGCTCTTCCTTAATTCCTCAGTTACATGCATGTCTATTGCGTAGCTTACACAAAACTTAGACTTTGACAATCGCTTACAGTAAGTGTGTCAGTGATTCTTTCTCTCCTCCCAAAGAAATAGAAGGCTATAGTGAAAAGCAAGCTGTGTCCTTATCCCCCTATCTAAAAACATTGTTACTAGAAAAAAAACAACAGCTGATTGCAAGTAATCAAAAATCTGCACTTAATTAATTAGAGAGCATTTGCTTTCTATCTCCATGAAGGCAACGTCTTCAGTGTCCTTTAAAATCCTACATCTGGAAGTTGGCGTACGTGTCGAACCTGTGGGCGTATTCTTCAACCACTTCATAGCAAAAGTAGTACTGCTCCTACAAGATAAAACACATTGTACGTACTTGCATATTAAGCAAGTTTGACAAATATATAACTGCAACGAGTTAAAAAAAGAAGGGATATCTATTTTAATACTTAAAAGTGTGTCAATTTTAAGTGTTAAGTGGTGTGTATTGTACGGCGACACTGCCTCATCTGTGTATTCAAGGCCTTGCCTTACGTGCTACCTCAAGGGGCCTTACAATAATGAATAATATAACTACAATATTTCTAGATCTAAAACACTCATTGGAAATCATTTAGAATTAACACTACTAAAAACATTATTAAAACACACAAAAAATCTTAGATATAGACAGATTTAAAAATGTGAGTTTTAAGAAGGGATTTGAAACTGTCAAAGTCTTCTGCTTTTCTAATAAAATTCGGTAAGGCATAGATTATAAAAGCTCGATCACCATAACTTTTGAGGCAACCCTTCTCTAAAACAGAATGTTCTAAAATAAGGTCATTCTGAACAGATTTATATCATTTTAAACAGATTTTGCATATCGTGTATGTCAGGCAGTTGGGCATGTATGTACCTTGCTATCGATCAGTTGTGGTCTGTTTTGTCTGACAGCCTTCACCGTGTGGAAGACATCCACTTCCTGCTCCACCTTCAGCTTGTCCAGTATGCGAGCCACGGCACAGAACAACCCGCTCTGGTGGGCACCGTTCCTTTATTATAGAAAAAGCTAAGATGACTTTTGGTAATATGGCCAGATTCTTGACAAGAAGGGGCTTCGGGTATGAAGTATGAAGCTGATGTTTATACAGTATGAAACTTTCATCAATATACATGGTGCATTTATCAGATACAGTTTCCCTTTCTAAAAGACAAAGGAACAAATACTGTACAGTTTGTGTCATGAGCAAATGGCAACAGCTAAAAAGTCTGAGCATATAAAACAAGCAGTAAGGACACACAAGCTAAATTTTCCCTACCGTTTTAAATCGCTCAAGGCATTTATGGAAAACCTGGTCGGAGACCTTCATCAGACTAATGTGAGTAGACAACGGTAGTGGGCGATTACATATACCGGTACATACATCAGTCTGGCGAAGACCTGTGACCAGGTTGGCCGTAAAAACAAACGGTAGAAAGTTCTAGCTTGTGATAAAAAAACCGTAATCATATGAAAGAGTGAGTCTTGTTTAACTCACATGCAGTGAACAGTAATGGAAGTATTTCCACTTTTCTGTTGCCATTGTTGAACCGCATCAAACAGCTCAAGAAACGCACGTGGTGATGGCGGCACTGGTTCTGATGTCCCCCATTCATGAAACTGGAATTGACAGACAGTTCTTGGGGGGGCGGAGTGCTAAAATTCAAAGAAATGATAACCATTGTAACTGAATCTTTTGTTCTGTTTAATTATCATTTTATATAATATAACATACCATTACGATATATTATTAAATGTCGATTTGCAATGCAACCTGGGCGTGTAACGTAAAAAATACCTCTCTCAATCGAACATTAAGAGAGGAATCGACAAACTGCAGTGGTATTTTTTTCATGTGAAAGGCACTTACTCGCTTTGAACTAACCAATTTCAACTCCCTGATGGTGATAGATTCCCCAATCTGATGCATAGAGATCACTTCGACAGTGAAATGACCGTAAGTAGTCGGCTCCTCTACTGGCCAGTACACGGCACTTGTCTGAAAAATAAAAGGCCAATTTAGCTACTAAATATGTTATCAGGCGATAGGGGATACATATGTTATGTGTAATAAAGCAACTTGATTTAAAAGAACCAACAGCGTATGATGTGCTTATTCACATTCTAAAATCAGCTTTAGCAACCAGCATCTGTGAGTAGTGCAAAAGTAGGTCCAACTAAACCCATTCGACATACTTGTATTTTTTACCTTGCTTTCTTCGTTCGCTTCATTCAGCATAACTATAGTCGCACAATGCTGGTCATACAACATACTCCAGAAGTCAACCACCGTATGAGGCAGAGGCATCTGAGTCACGATATAGGCATCTTGGCGTTGGTAACCCTAAAACAGTAAGATTTCTGATAAAGGGTTCCTTATAACACGTGATTGATTTACAGAATTTGGTTTTTATAATATCTCAATAATACATCACAGAATTCTTTTCCCTGAAGATTTTGCAGAATGTTAAGATATGTCTATTATTCAGGTAAAATCAAACTTGAAAATAAATAAAAAAGAAAAGAAAAAAAATACTCACAAATACGTCATCCACTCTGTTTGTATAGTGTTGTATTGTATGTTATTTATGAACAGAGCAGATGAAATATATTTTAGTAAAATTATACCTGCACAGTTAGATTTATCGTTGTCTAAATAAAATTTTGATGATTCTTCATGATCAGTATACTTTAACCGTACATCTATGAACACGGCATTAATGTAGTCAGTGCTGTCCTTCACGTATGACACAAGGTATGGTCTGCAGTGGTTACCTTAAAAAATAGTCCAAATTCTCTCATAGTCCAAAGACTCTATAGATACAACAAGATCTAAGATTTTTCTTTTGATTCTTAAAAAGTAGGAGTGAACAAAAAGTACATATATCTGCAAGTGTATGTAGATGTATACTAGTACGTTTGTACGAGCAATGAAAGGGGTAAAAGACACGGGCCGATAAACTTAAAGTAATAATAAAGTAACAATAAAGAAATGTAGAACATGAAAGTAAAACTGAAGAGGGTTGTTTAAATGATACCTGCAACAATATTCCTCACTCTATTCTTATCAATGTTGATAGGTTCCAAGGCCGTCTTGATGGAGCTTTCGTCTATTTCAGGCAACATAAGGTTCAGTATCTGCTCGGCAGAAAAAGATAATCATGTACCGGCATATAACAACAACAAAAACAACGACGACAACAACAACAACAACAACAGTAATGATAATAATAATAATAATATATGGTTAAATATTCAAAGCTCCCCACACCATCCATCAGCTGGCACCATGCATGTCCTGAGTTTCTCACATAAATCTAACCTTAACCCCAGGCTTGGAAAAATGATAAACAATAACGGCCTACCACAAACTCTTCTTCCATTTTGGTCAGTCCCGACTTGTTCCTTCGTCTCAGTTTCCGCAGACGAGTGGCAAAGTCTTGCACTGGTATAGAGGTTAAACCACAATGCAGTTCTTCCAACATCACGTCATGGATGAAGTAATATTGCTCCTGTAACAAATATTTCTTTTAAATAAAATAAAATATGAGCAGTGAAGATCGACCAAATCAAATTAAAGTAATGAATGCACCCCTCTATATTCTATACATTGCACCGACTAAATGGAAAGTCATTTCACGTGGCTGGCAAAGTGTCCAACTGTTTAAAGTAAATCATTGTGAAACCCATGTTCCGGGTTTTGAGATTTTTTACTGAGCACACTTCCGAATTTCAATTATACCCTGTATAGTATAGACGCATCAAACAATAATTTTCACGATTTAACATATGAAGCGCATACCACTGTCTGCACCATCTTTGGTCGCGATGCTCGCATTTCTTGGATGAGACGATATATGTCGATCTTTCCTTCAGCAAGCACTTGTTCGAACAGGTAGTCCAGTGCAATGAAAGTTCCGGTCCTACCAACCCCAGCGCTTAAATGTAACGGATATATATATTTCGATCAGTCGTCAGCTTTTAATTTGTGATTTATTATAACATGTTAATCAGGGTTACTGGGTAACCAGATTTCCAGTATTGTCATAATTGTTTTGAAGGACACACCAGTATAAAAAAATTATGAAGAACGTAGTAGAAATACACCAAATGCATAGTTGTTATTTCTGTTTATTGATATAAATATGTGCTAAAGAAAAAAACGACAAAGTCGTGCATTACCTGCAATGTACAATGATAGGTCCTTGGTCTTGAACCTGACTTTGATACTTCTTGACTTCCTCTCGGAATTTTACCAAAGCCGTTGGGTCAACAGGCACACCATGATCAGGCCAACCAGTGAAGTGGAACTGTTTTACAGTACGTACTTCTAGTTCTCCAACCTTTGGGGAAACATTTAAGGCTTTGATAGATTTACGTGAAAATCTAACGAGTTACACACTTTCACTTTTGTAATAGTTCCAGTGGAACTTGACAAAAAGCACGCTTTGAGTTGGGTTATTTTGGATCGTGCCAATATTCAGTAACTCGACTGCTTACCTTACAATACTTCAAATTTCGGACAAAATAGTCCTGTCCTTGAATTTCATCCAGTGTAGTCACTTCTATTTCACCAAACTGTTTCACTCCCTCGTCTGCCCAGTACTGCTCACATTTTTGCTATAGTGAAAAAAGGGTTATTTTTTATTATTATTAGATTCCAGGTCTTGCAGCAGATACTGTATGAGAGAATAACATTCATGGATAGGCCTAATGCTCATGACAATCTAAATCGCGCAAGCGTAGGATGGATTTAAATCAGGCAATTTATTTTAACATAATCTTACAATTCTCATTTTAAACTTAATTTTAGCTTATGTCTCCACATTAACACAAAAGAAAGCATAAGTAAAGGACAAACACAAGAATGGTGTTCGAAATGTGTCTGGTGACGGCCACTTTTATTTATTGTAAAATGGTGTAAGGTTATTATATATCATAAAATAATGTGGAGTAAAAACATGTAATGTTAAACCTTAACAGGCCCGTAGCCAGGGGGGTTCGGGGAGGTTCGAAAGAACCGCCCCTTTTCTCAGGAAAAGGTCCATTTTGGGTAAAATTTGTTCTAGGTACACGTAAGTTTCATTGTAAAAGGTCCACTTTTTCAGAAAAAGAACCCCCATTTTGAATTTTCTGGCTACGGGCCTGCTTAAATAATAAACTTACTTCCTTATTTTAATTATATGTAACGCGCGTTTTGTCGGATGATACTGTAGTTTTAGCCACGCTCGGCTGTCACCTTGATTGGATAGTAAACGATTGTCGTAAAATCGCTAAATGATATAAAAACCGGGTGCATAAACTTGAAAACCACCTAGGACAACCTTGGACTGCCACATTAATCCAATACAATGCAAAAATAAACTATAACAAGTGGTTAAAGCCTTCAAACCGAATGTCGTAAAGTCCCCATATACCTCCATTGAGACAATAAAATAGGGTAAGCTTGTGAAACAAAACTCAACCATTTTGAACATAATAATCGAAATAAAATACTGCCGGGCATCGGAGCGGCCTAAAACTTGGCACGCTTACCGCAAATACTGCAGGCTACATCATCCCGTCGCTCGTTTGTAAATTCCGTGCATGGCATACGCACAATCAAACCGTAAAGCCAAATTCCACCTCTGATGTTTGAATCGGTCCTCTACACTATTCAAATCAGGAAGTGACGTAACCGCAGAGGTCGTATTGTCCAATGGCATGGCTTCTTTTTCTTAATTGGAGGTTAGAGTGGACCAAAATAAACATGTCCTTGGTGGTTTTCAAGTTTATGCACCGGGTTTTAATATCATTTAGCGATTTTACGACAACCGTTTACTATCAAATCAAGGTGACAGCCGAGCGTGGTTTTAGCCTACCTTGCCCATTTCCACAGTTTTTGTCACCATTACAATTTGTGGAGACTTGACTTGCCATATCATCCGCCAGAAGTCCTTCACAGTGTTCGGTTTTGGACCTACACCGGAATAAAAAAAAAATTGTACAATAGCTTCTTATGTAACAAAAAAGTCGTTCAGCATGTTTTAAACTGCCGCCAATAATGACAAATATGAAAATTGATAAAGTGAAGGTGTGTGTGCGGATATGTGTGTATGCGCACGTGTGTGTTTGTGATTTATCAATTAAAATATCACATTTACCTTGAGAAGCGATAAATGCACGTGGTCTCTTATATCCCTGAAATTAGAAAGTTACAGTTGTTAACAATATATATATATATATATATATATATATATATATATATATATATATATATATATATATATCATTCCTGATGACAGACAATTAAGGCATAATAAATTAAATTAATTATTGAATTACATAAACAATTAAGGCATTTTGTTTTGGGTCATGTGTCATCTGTGTATTTTTAAGTAGCTTGAGCATATAATCACGCGTGGAACAGTAGGATAAATAACATACAGTGTGTTATAGTAAACTTACATCAATATAGTTTGCGTTGACGTAGTCAGAGTTGGGATCACCTTGCAAAAGATCCAGTACAACTCGGCTATGGTCGTCTGATGGAAAATAAGAAATCGTTATAAAATCATATCATTATAATCACAGTTTTAGCTAAATACAAACGTGCTTAGAAGGATAACCGCTGTTCATTTTGGGCAGAAAAATGGATTTTCCTAGGGTAAACGACAATTTCCTTAAGTTATGAAGCTATCTATAGTTAAAACAAATTATTTGATGGCTTACATGGCATAATGTTCTGGAACCTGTTCTTTAGTTTGTTCTCTCGCTTTTGGCCGGCTTCACAAGGCCAAATAAATATGGTGGGGAATTTCTGAAAAAAAGGTTATAATGGTTTTCTTTAACATTTGTACATGCCGTGAACTGCTATTAGAATGCAGACACTCCATTTTCTTTTCTAAATTTATATTGTTCGACCACAGGTACGAAAAACGAGACACGACACAATTTAAACGTATAACATCAATCGAAAAACTTTTTTGTACCTGAGAGATTCACTTATTTTCTCATATCTTGACGCATATCAAAGATGCACCAGTCCAACTGAAAACATTGAATGCAGCCACACACATACAGTACCTGGTATTCAGCCTTAAGAACATCTCTGGTTTTCAATTTCATGACCTCAAAAATGTCCTCTACGGGGATTTCTGTGCTTTGATCAATATTGCCATAGAGATGCTCGTCGTCGGCGTTTTCATACATATTTTCTCTCGGCAATTCTTCTACAAGTTCATCTGAAGCTATAAAAGTTAAATCAGAGATACATGTATTTTGGGTTTCCCTTGGAAGGCAGTATTTGTGTACTTACAACGCATATTTACTATTTAATATATTACCTTCTTTTCCTTGCAGTTCGGAAAAGGCGTCAATTCCATTTGATTCGTTACGGCGCTGCCTTCTGCAAGATATATATGACAGTGAGATTTGGAAATGGTTCCGATTCTCATGTAAAAAAAAAAGGAATTGAAATAATGAAAATGTCTGTATACCTCTTACTTGTACATGTAGTTGTTATACACTGTGAATATATGGTACATGTACCGGTAAACGTATCTACTAAGTTTGACCACTCGGTAAGTTGCACTTTTGTTGGCTACGCAAATACCCATGCATCCATGCATAATTTCACTTACATTTGCTTAAGTAATCGTGTATATGAATATAAATTTACCTTTTGTATATGACAACAACGACCACAACTACCGCCACCAGAACCAGAACCCCCAACACACCTCCTGATACAGCACCACCATTTATACCTGTGACAGGGACAGAAGTGGGTAGGAAGAAAGGAGGCATTATATACACGAAGGAAAACAGCATAATTTGAGTTGGAAACTTTCGCATTTTAAATAAAACGCCAGTAATATATAAGAGAAAAATTAAAATTTGATTCTTAAACATAAACGAATAATTTTGCATATTGTGTACTGTAGCACATTGCATCGCAAAATGTCTCATGTACATGTACAAATGTAGCTACATGTATAATACTGACTGTACAGTTCATTCTGAATTGAGACGTCTTTTTCCATACTCGTTGTTGCCCGAATTAGATCACTATACTCGCCATAGCCGACAGCAGTTTTGGCACGTATCTACAAATACAATAATGCTCAGGATGAAAAATACCAGTACATGGAGGACTGAGGAGTAGACTTACATTGTACAGTGCAATGCCACCCAAAACGTTTTTTTTTTTTTTTTCATAAAATACATTGGAAGCTTCATGACAATACGGCGGTGATTCTGTGTGAAATATACTTACTCGAATCATGTACGTGGAATTGAACTGCAAATTGCCTATTATTTTACTAGTAATATCTGCACCAGTCACTGTTTCTTCCCACTGGCCGGGTTGTTGAAAGTAGGATATCTGGTAACTGACGATAACGCCACCTGGAGGGGAAGGGGCACGCCATGTTATCTCTATGGAGCTATATCCAGTAGATGTTACATTTGGGGCCTTCATCTTTGGTGGAACTGTAACATAAAATAATTATATTTTGCAAAAAATCTCCATCAGTTCATTTTCTGAAAATAGTGATTAATAAGCTCATGGTAATTATATTTAAGAGAAAATATAACATTTTTTCTTGAAAAATGAAATAAGCAATACCGGCCGGGGAGTTTTTAACATGATGATATTTTCAAGAAATTTATAACAGGGGCGTAACCAGGCATACGCACGGATGCACTGTGCGTACAATTTTTTGAGCCAACCATGATATTATTCTCCATAAATTCAGTGTATTTTTCACGAAATATAATCGTATCTGTGAATTTTCAAAATCTGTGCGTACGATTTTAAAAGGTCTGGTTACGCCCCTGTATAACTAATTGAAAAACTTACCCCCTTCAGCTGTAGTATGAGTCACTGTCACTGGTGGTCCTACCAGGTGTAAGTTGTTAACTGCTGTCAGGTAGATGGTGTATTTACTATATGTTGTGAGGTTGGTTATGGTTATCAGCTGTGTTTCGTTGACATGCAGCACGTCTGTTGTACCATTGTTGAATTCTCCTTCATATCGCACGGTTAATTTTCCAAACCCGTCGCATCTATGGACCTCTTGATTCATCCCCTAAAATTAATGGATAGTTTTTAATTGTCTTGAATAGTATCGATATGTGCATGAGGTCCTGCATGTGGAAAACGCCAAAATGAACGCAAAATATGTACAGGACACGTATAGGTTTTTAATCGATTTATATCATCTTTATTTTGAGGGTCGGCTAAAATATAATGGCACAATCACAATTGGTGACATCCTCTTTAACCATACTGTAAGTTAATGCAATTTGAAGAAAAATAATCACGTATTATAAATTTTCTGTGCAAGTATTTCTGGTACACCTGAATAACTTTCTCAGATGACCGTTTTCATGCAAAAATAAATAAATAAATAATAATAACTTGCAAACAAAACACATTGTAACCAACTATTGAAGTAGCACAAAACTTGACCTTCTATACACTTTACTTCAGTTGCTATACCGCACACACGTGTGTGCAGAGTGTATCGTTCAATACGGTACACTTACCGTCGTTTCTATTTCCATGTATGTAGATTTTTTTGATGAGGTAACATAAGAGTTGACAATTGGATTGGGAGGTGCCACGGGTTCTGAAAATAATGATAATCCGTAGTGACGGAATAAATGTATTATTTTGGTCTATTATACCTGTATGTTACATAAAAATAATCTTATCAGCTGCAAGTAAATTTGAAACCATCTTACCTCCACATGTTCTTGAAGTGGTTGTCGGGCTGGGAACACCATGATATCCAGCATTATTCTTTATAGTTACACTGACATTATATTTTGTGTAATGAGAAAGATGTTTGATTGTGGCTGTACGATTTTCTGATGATATTGTCACATTGCTGGGTTGGCCACCCTGTCGCCATGCTCTAATGACGTAGCTGTGAACACTACCAACCCCAGAGCCGGTCTGGGACGACCACTTTTGCCAATTTATGGTGAGTGAATCCTGAGTCCTTGATAACACATCCGGTGCTTTGGTTAGATATGGGAGTAATGATGTGTCTGCAAAATAAAATTAACACATGGCGAGAAAAAACGATCCAAGAATGGTATTTTAGTTTATTAAAATTCATATTGACAATACAATACAGGTATGTCAATTTAAACCATTGAAAGGCAAGTGCGGAATGCACATATTAAGTGCTATAGTTAAAACACAAGGCGCCCACTGTATGCTACTTACAAGAGTGCAATAAGCCTTTTGACGCCAGATGACTAGCTGTTGACATATTTTGTTTACTTAAAAGATTGTTCCCCAGTAAACAAAAATAATACCGGAGAGCGAGCACTTCAGGAAACAAAAGAAGTCAACATCTACACATGTGTTAAGCCTCTCTCCTGGTCCTCAAGTCAAATTCGGTCTCTTGTTCTAAACTGTTTACAAGAAGCTCTATTCTGGTCGTACACCTGTAAATGTCCATCATGACGTATTCAAACGTGTTCCCCAAAAGTGTCCTTGGCTGATTCTGTTATGTTCTCAAATTTTTCAGGTTAAAAACTTTTAGACACTACCAAAAAACGTATGTTAACTGAAAAACTTAGAAAGAAATGCATTACAATTATTTAAATTCGTATTGTATTTGCTATAATATATTCTCACATTTTTAAAGAACAAAGTTTTGCTGCGTGACTGCCTTTAGGATGCTTAATACTACTACAATATTTATATGGCATGCTCTGCATCATGTGTTCAAGACATTATAATTCGTGGGTGATTGTGTGTGTGGGGGGGGGGGGGGGGGGACTCACTCGCTGTCATGATGGACATGATGGTGCGTCTCAAACCTGTTAACTTCATGACCCTTAAAAACACCGCTACAGATGTAGACACTCTAACCCAAAAATATTATGTTCAATGTTAAAAAACTTTTAACAAAAAGTGAAAATGTGAGCCACACATATTTATTTTAATATCGGCATAAATATATGACATGTTCCATTGTTTTCTCTGGTTTATGTTATTGTACATGTACCCTCTAACAGGGAAAGCAGCCAACAGTTACATGTATTAAAAGTGATATGAAACACTAATAAAACGTTATGTAAACCGTGAGCGTCGGTAACGTGACTCAAACGTTCACTTTCTGAAGGAATGATTCCCCGGAGTAAAGTTGAGATAAGTTAATTTACGCTCTCATCTTTCATATTAAAGAAATGAGTATTTATTATAAGAGGTCAGGGTGGGAGGAGCATAAGAGAAAGCGAGTTATAAGCAACATACCAGGGAATACCCTGCAATTTATCAATTTATCTTTTTCAATTTATGCCGAGAAGTATCACCTTATGCCCCTATTTCACACAGACCACGAATCCCACGAATGGCCATGAATTGACAAATTTCACGATTCGTGGTTGAATCGTAATCAGTTCGTGAAGTTCTTAACAGATTCGTATATATTCGTAGTCAGTTCTTGCATTTCTTGACCATCAGGAATTGATGGCAAAAACTTTGATGCCCCTATTTCACACAGACCACGTATCCCACGAATCGCCAGGAATTGAAAATTTCAGGATTCGTGGTTGAATCGTAATCAGTTCGTGAAGTTCTTAACAGATTCGTATATAATCGTAGTCAGTTCTTGCAATTCGTGATCAATCGGGAATTCGTGGCAAAAATTTTGAGCTGTTCAAAGTTGTGGCCACGAACTCCCGATTCCAAAAAATTGTAGTGAATTTCTGGACAATATTCGTGCGATTCCAGCCGAATCCCTCGAATATTCGTTACACTATCGCACCTGTATCGTAACTGAATCGTAGAGCGTGTCAAATTAGACCAGAAAATTGTCAAAATCTCACGATTCCAGCCGAATCCCACGAATATTCGTAACACTATCGTACCTGTATCGTAACTGAATCGTGAGCGTGTCAAATTAGACCAGAAAATTGGCAAAATCTTACGAATCCTCACGAATCCTGAAATTTGTCAATTCCTGGCGATTCGTGGGATTCGTGGTCTGTGTAAAATAGGGGCCTTACCCGTCGATCTCGCGAATACTTCACATGGCCGTTTAAACAAAAAAAATGGTTTTTAATAACACACCGAACGTCATACACTGTATTAGAATGTTTCCGTATAAAAACTATATACCAAAGAAAATAATTTAGAGGCCAAAAGAGGGACAGCCAAGGGCACGTTTCGGTATGACTATTAAAAACTGTAGGTTTAGTATAAAGTCTATCAATAAACACACAAATTCATACAGTATGACGCAGCTGACCATGTGCGGATTTGATTGACGGAGCTAATTTAATTGTTCGAAGGCTTTAACCAAACCGTATATTCTATTTTGAGCCTTTTATCTCTTATGCAAGTATTATGTTATGAAATAACTTAAATTAAAAAGTTTTCAAGATGAGCCTTTCTATTGATATACTTTATCATGTTTTTTGATTATCTAGCTTGGTCGGTTAAGAAGATATATTAGAAAATAATTTAGAGGCCAAAAGAGAGACAGCCAAGGACACGTTTCGGTATGACTATTAAAAACTGTAGGTTTAATATAAACAGTCTATCAATATACACACAAACTCATACAGTATGACGCCGCTGACCATGTGCGGATTTGATTGACGGAGCAGGTTTACATATATGGCGCATACCCATAGATAAAGAGTTTTTACTGTTGCATTTGGGCCATGGAGCCAATCCAAGGCAAAACAAAAATATTCAAAGTTAAATGTACATCTAATTTAATTGTTCGAAGGCTTTTGCCAAACCGTATATTCTATTTTGCGCCTTTTATCTCTTATGCAAGTATTATATTATGAAATAACTATCTTAAATTAAAAAGTTTTCAAGTTGAGCCTTTCTATTGATGTACTTTATCATGTTTCGTGATTATCTAGCTTGGTCGGTTAAGAAGATATATAACCCAACTAGCCTGTTGATCTCGCGAATCAACCAAATGAGCGTAAACTGGGTTGCTAAACTGCAAGTAGGCCTAATTAACCCCCTCCACTCCCCCGAACGTCATGCTGGCAGGTTTGCAAATGAAGGCTATACCGCAGAAAAAGTTTGGGGCCCAAAAGAGAGCCAGCTAAGGACACGTTTGGGGAACACGTTTGTACACGTCATGATGGACATTTACAGGCGTAGGACCAGAGCAGAGCCTCTTGTAAACAGTTTAGAACCAAGGGACCGAATTTGATTTGAGGACCAGAGGAGAGGCTTAACACACGCCTACCCCGGTAGCTGAAAAGGGCTTATTATATCAAGGCGCAGTCGAAAATACACTCGTGTGGTAACTAGTACATAAATATGCCAGATAACTGGCGACTTAAATCAAAAGGAAGAAAAGCCATAAAATTTTGTCACAGTCCGTGACTGTCACATACCCACTTGACATGTTCCATTATGTCCCTGCCAGCCTTCAGCACAGCCAGATGTACAGACTCCATACACGGGATGACACTGTTCATTGGTATTTCTACAGTTACAACGGTTTCTGCATTCAGGACCAAGGTTTTTATTTGTACATTCTGAAAATAACATGAAGCCCAGAGACCAATCATTTGTAAAGAACGCTTTACTTTATCAGTAGTTTTAATTTGACTACAAAAATATTAATTGCATGTCCAGGAGGCAAATAAAGTTTTCGAAAAACCAAACACCAATGCAACCATACGTTTTGTATATAAACATTTACTTTTGTAATCGTCAATAAACATAAATATTATGATACAACAGTACAACAATATCTATAATTGATAAAACGGGTCACTTGTGTAATGATGATAAATACAAAAATCGCCAACAATTTACAGAAATCACATCGATGAGCCAGTTATATGATCAAAGCTTTATATTCTACTTAAGAAGAGTAGATATTTCGTGCCAAGTAGAAACACGATAGTCATTTTAGAAATATTTCACTTCTATATCCATTTGTAAATGTATATAACTCGTGTAACAATTACCTTTGTATCTGTACCCTTTAATAGTAACTTCACAGAGTATTAAAGGGGCTTCGTGCTCCAGCTGCACAATCACGACTTGACCAATATGTGGAACTTGACATGACAATTCTACACTACCACCACGAGGTACTTGGGGAACATATGTCGCACACACGTCTTTGCTGCTGGTATCTGTGATGTTACGTGTCTTTACTGATAAGTTTTTTAAGTGCTTGCCGGCTGGAAGTTTAGAAAGATATAGGTCAAACTTAGAAAGTGGGGATATCCGTCCACTAAGACCCAGAAGCGATACATAAACGGTGATTATTGTACACTAAACTGTGACTTTGATAAACACAATAATGCATACACGGATGAACTGGTCGAAGAAAAACTACAAGATATAGGAACAACAGTTGTAGCTATTTTAATCGTCTTTTGAAAAGAGAAATAGGAGCGCTAGATATGATGAAAATGAAGGAGGCGGAAGCGGTTAGTGTTCCTCTCTTTCGGGCACCCTTTCCCTGTCCCTTCCAAAATAATAATAATAATGCTTATAATTATAATTTTCATCAGAACTCAAATACAGCTTGTTTTTATATCATTTATTGTATATGTTAATATTATTGAGGAAAATTAATTTAATGTTTTGACAACATCCACTACGTTCTTAGCGTGTTATAAATTCTGAAAATGTTTTTTTCTTATATATGATTTTAAGTTGGAAATGACATGTTCTACTTCAGTAATGTAAACACACACACACACATACACACACACACACACACATTAATGACAGAGAGTTAGACGTGGTATCGAAACTAAAAACAAATCATTCCAAATTATGCGAAAGTAAAACATTAATCCATTATTATTATTATTATTATTATTATTATTATTATTATTTCCTTAAAAAGATAAATTCTTTTGGTAAGAGAAATTTCTGACAAAGAAATCACAAACTATTGAGAATTCCCATATACTATGCCCAATACTCCGACTAACCCTAGCCTGTACCAGGGAATTATATCATCCGATATAATTCCCTGCCTGTACTTATCATATTGGACCCCTGACTTTCATTTCTAGGACGTGGCATTCCTGTCACGCCGGCAATAACTAATAACTCCTTGGTTAAAATGTATAAATTGCATCGAAAAGACAAAGAGTTATGATTTGTGTTGACAACTTACGAAAATTTGGCATATTTAATGTGGTTTGTGGCATCAATAGGCCTATTTCTTAATTTTAACTTCTTTTCGCAAAATCTATAAACAGAAATTACAGTGGAAATAGCTTAAAATGATACCGAGGGACATCCTACGGACTACTGTTATACAATGTATGTAGGAACAGGGCAGGTCGAGCCCGACAAACTGTACCTGCTGCATTTTGGAAGGGAAGAGCACTGTATAACACTTGTAATAATTGGCCAAAATTAACATGGCGACCCGCTCTCAGCTGCACGAAATTTTTGTTCGTCGCCTGAATGATTGATACAATCGGCTACATTATAGTCTTCGCGGAAGGCCGACAGGCAGGGGAGTATGTTTATAAGATATATACACCGTCTCTTTGAGGTTAACAATAAAATTAGTAAAATTGCAAACTTAAACTCTAGTTTCGCAAACCGTGATAAGATTCGCTAGGCATGAATCAAAATCATAAATATACATTTCCTGCTAGCATGGATTCAAGTAAAGGAAAGAGCTTTCGAATGACCCACGCTAAAACTTGCTGCACCTTATCACTTCCCATGTGTAACAACAACTCCACCGACCGATCCGTGACGATAACACACTGATATCCTACCCGTACTGAACAGTTCACACAAAATCATGCTACGCGTGACATCGTACCTACAATAAATATATTATTTATCATTTACTAATTAGTTAATTGATTAATAATTTCTCAGCATCAAGTGAATGCTCTCCCCGACAGTTTCTCAAAATTTTCTAAAAACCTGTCCGCTTCTTTTTCCACAATGTTGCTACATGTACCCTGTATGAGACAAACAGACTAACAGACAAACAGACAAATGATAGACAAAAAGACAAGCGTAAATAAAACATAATCGTTTCGGTGGTGTTTGATAATAATACCCGGTATAACATTCAACTCATCAGATAAATGTATCCGTCTGGAAATCGAATAGCAAAAACTGCAGTAAGGAAGTCTGGCGTAGATAAACGATACTTTATGGCGATTCTCTGATTACCCATTGATATTAAATCATGTGCCCATATTGCAGTGTATTCACGAAAGCATGTGCATGTACATGAAGCATATCGGATAACTATGACAACATATAGGGGAGACCGGGGCTAGTTGGACCCCGGGGTAAGTTTGCCCCCCATCAATTTGTGAAAAAGGGGTAAAAATTGATCACATCATTTAGTAAAGTGGCCGTATCCAATAGTGCTAAGAAACGTCGGTCGCAAAGAAGTTTTATTTACCGTGTAGGTTGTGAGTCCAAATGAAAGAATTTAGCATCTTAAAGTAACTTTATTAAAGAGACTTTAAAATATATTTTCACAAGCTTTTGATGGAATATAGTATAAATGTATAGGGCATCAAACTGAAGCTCAATGTTTCATCATCGTTGTTCATTCTAGCACCATAAATGGCTGCAATCCTTTAAAATTAAAAATGTGCATCCGGGGCTAGTTGGCCCCATGACTCAGGGCAAGTTGGACCCTCATATTGACCATAATTCTTTGCGCGCAACAGAGCTACAGACCATTGTTGAAACAACCTCAATGGTTTGTTAATTAATTACCAGTTCAAAACTGAATTTGTTAGTTTCCTTTAAAACAAAAAATTATTATTCCCCGTGGCGGGGCAAGTTGGCTCTCCTGACGTCAATTGCATTTTTTGTCAAATTGTGAGCCATCTGGCATTACAATTTAAAAATAATGACGTTGCAGACATAGCTTAGTACATGGGGCTTACTTTCAAACCGGATTTGTTACTTTAACTCATTCCTAGTTGGCTCTACAAAGCCAAAAGTGTCTAACTGGGCCAACTAGCCCCAGTCTCCCCTACTTGTTTGTATCTACATGTAGTAAACCATCATCAGCACAGGTACATAAAGCACTATCCGTGTATCCTTAAGCATTTGTATTTACAGCACGCACGCATACACGCACACATGCATACACATACACTTATGGGGATGTTAAAACCAGCATAGTGGTCTCTAATGATAAAAAGAAACATATTCCAAGACGCATACTTACAGTCAACGCCAACACCTCTGTTAAATAGCGTTACACTGTAAACCACGTACTGCTGGCCCAGGTCTACCCGCCACCAGGGGTATGGTGTTAAATCTGTGTGAGAGCACGACCCTGCATTGAAATCTGCGTTAACATTCCCGTCTACAGTACGACTTGGTACTCCACCTGCAATAACCGCTACGTCGCTTTGCTCTGCTGTTCTTCCAATGGCCACATTATCTAAAACATGTTATTTGGTCTCAATTTTTTCGCTATCAATGAGTTAATACATGTTGATAAATCGATGATATTCATTTTCTTTGCGTCATCCTCGTCATATTCATGAACTATATAATAAACGTATAAAAAAACATAGTGGCATGATACTTTTAACTGTGTAACTGTGTACATCCATACGATTATTAGGGCCTATTGTACAAACTGGATTAAAAGTTGATTAAAAACAAAATATGTATTGCCGTTTGTTAACCTCAGAAAACGGTTTAAAACTACGATTTACTGGATTGTATACAAATCGAAGAGTCTCTTTTACTTTTCCAACCTAAAATCATTTTGATAATTTCTTTTCCACAAAAGTCAACTTACATGGGTACGTGTAGCCCCTAACGACGATTTCACACAACCGAAATATTTGTGTTCCAGATTTTCGTAACGTGACGTAGCGCCCCAAGATTGGTGAATCTATCTCGTACTCTAACACTGATGTTGAGCACTGTGTATTATCAACTCCTACAGCTCTGCATCCAGTATCCGATGCCGTTTTGTTGTTAATGCAGAGCTGGACACCTTGAAACTGGCCTGGTAAAACGATAAGAATTTAATATTGTTTCTATATACCATCTAGACAGACACATCCCTTACTAGTAAATAAATAAGTGAAATGTGACACAAAAACATACTGTTAAAGCAGATTACATATCCATGATGTCAAACTTACATATGTCAGGTTTTATCAATGCAACTCTACGAATTACATATAACCCTCCTAGGTCCACACTCCAGGTGGGATTGTTCTGTGAATTCGTTTTTATACATTTCAGGTCATCAGTGCTGTTGTGTCCATCCACTGCAAGATTCGCTGGATAACTCACGTTTTCGCTAACATTCATATAAGTACTTGACTGTGTGGCTTGCTTTCCATAGGCTAAGTTGATATTTTCTAGAATGAAAAATGACAACAATCTTCAGTGAAATTGTTTAAGGTAATATTGACTTAATATACTTATATACACAAACTTTCTGTAAAAGTTTTTTTTTTTTTTTCAGAAATACATGTAACTGTCTTTACTGTAGGTACCGGATTGTGTGGCTGGCTTTCCGTAGGCAATATTAATATTTTCTGGCAGAAAAATGGAGACTATGCTCAGGATTGACCTTCATACACAATATAAAGAAACTTTGCTGAAATCATTTTTTTTTTCACAAAAATATACAGTCATTATACGAGATGCTCTGCCATCCATTGCCGCACCAAGGGATCCGTTTATGCCGTGATCTTTAAAATATAACTTCTATAATAGCCCAATACAAAAGATCTCTTAAACCCCATGCACTCACCATCTTGACATCCTATTCCCCAGGGGTTGTCCACACATTGTTCAGGACATGTTCTTAGAGTCCGTTGACATCTCTGTCCTTGTTTACAGAAACACCCAGTCACAGTGTCACACTGCCAGCCAAAGTAACCGTCACCTTCCATACAGCATAGACATAGGTGCACTGGTGATAGAAAGAAGTAATAAACAGCAAAACTTTCACTCTACATACAGCAAACAAGCCATCTCCATCTTTTAACCTTAAATAACACTTTCATTATGAACAAATCGTGCTCAAAGTGAAAAAAAATGTGCATCCAGCGCCAAATGTGCAGTTGCACTATCCATCAAATACTTATGGAAAGTGCAAACTGCCTCATTATTAAAGTGGCGAGTTATACACATAATTGGCGAATGCTTATTTATAAAGTACAAGAATTGATAGTACATTTTTATGTCTTGCTCTAAATTATAACTGCCGGGGCTAAAAACTGCATTATAATATTTTTATTCATTGATCCATGTTTTGTTTTGCAATCGGGTTCTATTCAGTCATTTCTGCTTCACTTTGTTTTTATTACCGTCTTTTTGATACAATTGTTCTCATTCCTCCGACCTAGCACCTGATTTAAAAACGAAACCTGGTCATGTGTATATAATTCACGTTTACTTCCTCGTCGTGTCCTGGTCTGGAATATCATACTGTGGGATCCCTAGTTGTCAAAATCCATTGAAATGCTTACGTCTAAAAGAGGTCTGGGTTTAGCAACTAAAATATAATCACGGTCAAGCAACACCCTGGTTTTCAAATCATATTTTTAAACGTAATTTACAGACACAAATACGGATTTTAGGATACTGAATATAAAGTGAAGTGAAGTACTTGTATGTTAACGTTAATTGACAGTGCGACAAGTATTTTTTTCCTCATCTAAACCGCTAAGGCAGAACCCGCAGTTTGGTTAAGAAAAAGGAAGCCCGGGTCCGCCTATCTATAGTAGTCAGAAGTCATTTCATGAAGGTTAACATATTCATGTATTGTTGAGGATAAAGCGCACTGTAAATACACCCTACATGTACGGAGAAAATTCATTTGTTCCATTTTACACAACACAGAAGCTTCGCCTGTAAGGTCCGACATTCTTTCTGCGATTTTCATTAAATCCCTTCGGGTCACCACAGCGTGTACACCACTATAGTATGAAAGAGCAGACATACGTCACAGTTACCAAAAATACACGTTAACAAGACGGTTAACAGCAATAGTACTCAAACTATAGCTTTCTTATTATTTTGAGATAATGTCTGTCATTTAATATGTAATAATTCGTCCGGTTTACCTGTTAAAAATATCATCCAAACAACCAGGAAGCAAGTTATCCTGGGCAGGGCAGCCATTTCTTCCTTTACTACAGTTGACACATACCTTAGCGCACTGCTGTTGTGTTACCGGTATTGTACCTCGGGTCGATTGACATAAAAAGATTTCTTTACGCTCTAGAGGATAAAAATGTAAAACAAACATACTCAGTGACGCCCCTTTTTGGGTTAGGGGTTAAGTTGAAATCCGCGTTAAGAAAATAAATATTTTTTCGGGCTTCGAATTCCCGTGTCTGCTATGAGACTCAGTGCATACATTGTTTTAATAACTTAAGCATACATATGTAACTTGAACGAAGCATATTGTAACCAAGTTGTGTTTTTTTTTTTCATTTAATTGGTTAGATGTGGATTTTTTCGTGAGTTGGCGGCAGTAAACGCCTTTTTATTTTTCGCAAAGTCAGAATTCATGCACTACATTATCTATACATACCTAGGGATGTTATGTGACCGTGGCGATATGATGATCACTGAAGCCTGTCCATTTAGACAAGCTTCAGTGAAGATCGAGTGCAACCTCGAGCAGCTACCCAAAAATATCTCGCTTCACTCGACATTTTTGCGTAGCGTCTCTCGGAAAACTCGGATTTAACCATGATGTAGTCGTGAAATTCTAGACTACATTTTGGTTAAATCACTCGAGGTCTCTTAAATGCTGGAGGTCAAAGACAGATTGATCATGTGACTTTCTTGGCATCAAGAGAATAGTGACGTTGCATGCGTTATATACCTACCAGTAGACAAATTTAAAATCTCTCACACTCTTAAAAAATTAGCATAAACATTTCACGTTTAACAATCATTAGTTATAACTTTATTACACTAAGTCATATCATATGGGTATGTTTTGAAAACGGGAATTAGTTTACATTTAAGCCACACGTGCATACAAATTATTTGAAAATTTATAACTTTTTAACGAGGGTTGTGTTATTTACCTTTTGTTTTTAAGCTGTTCATTCTTCATCTTTATCAGATATATCGGTAAAAATCAAATACATTCCCCTTTTGAACTTGTAATTACATGTAGCATGCTCCATGCTCTGAAAACCAGCACATGTATATTCCGAAACCGCCTCGTAGTAAAAAATGTCACCAAAACGTAGAATTATTACTCCTGTGGACTTGAAATAAACATCCGTTTGATTTTGACTGTATTCCGTAACCGCCTCGTCGTCAGAAATAACAATAAAAACTAGAATTATTACTCCCGTGAACTTGTAATAATCATCCGTGTGATTTTGACTATATTCCGAAACTGCCTCGTTGTCAGAAATATCACCAAAAAGTAAATTTCTTTCTCCTTTGCACTTGTAAAAAATTAGTTTGACTATATTCCGGTCCGACGCTCCTTGTTTATCAGAAATGTCACTTAAAAGTAGATGTTTGCCTTCTGCAGCAGGCCCAGATACATGTAGGTGTGGCTCAGCTGAGAAACGCACGGTCAGTGTCGACGATTGATTTAATACTTTTCACGCCAGTTAAACGTCCATGACAAGTACCCTGTATTTAGCAAAAATTGACCAAATTGGTCAGACATTATGTAAGGGCCCCTTTACACTGGACGGCGTCCTTTCTGCGTCCAGCAGCACGGCCCCATTTGAGAGTTAAAAAATTATAATATTTTACGTGCCGACAACTGGCCGATCATTGAGCGTTCTTCTGATACAAAATCAGTGCTCGTGCTTCTTTAAACCCCCTTTACACTGGACGGCGTCCTTTCTGCGTCCTTTGTGCGACCATGAAACTGGCCAGGACGCCGTCGGACGCTCAAAGAACGCACAGTGATCGCCAAGGTCGCACAAAGAACGTTCAAGCATCGCCGAGGACGCCATGGACGCCGCGAAGTTTTGAGCATGTTCAAAACAATCGCAGAGAGAACGTGATGGAGGATGGTCGCTCAATGGACGCAGAAAGGACGCACAAGCATCGCCGTGGTCGCAGAGAGAACGCACAAGCACCGCCGCGGTCGCAGAGAGGACGCACAAGCATCGCCGCGGTCGCAGAGAGGACGCACAAGCATCGCCGCGGTCGTAGAAAGGAGGCACAAGCATCGCTTTGGTTGCAGAATGAAAACTCAAAGATCGTCCAGTGTTCGACACATAGAACGTTATTTTTTTTCACTCTCAAACGGGGCCGTGCTGAGGTATTTTTCACCAGACAGGAATTCTAAGGGCAACAGTGGTCTCATATCAGTCTCCGATTGTTTTCCCCCCTAAAATTCATGAAACGATCCATTTTTTTTTTTTTTNTCAGTGAAGATCGAGTGCAACCTCGAGCAGCTACCCAAAAATATCTCGCTTCACTCGACATTTTTGCGTAGCGTCTCTCGGAAAACTCGGATTTAACCATGATGTAGTCGTGAAATTCTAGACTACATTTTGGTTAAATCACTCGAGGTCTCTTAAATGCTGGAGGTCAAAGACAGATTGATCATGTGACTTTCTTGGCATCAAGAGAATAGTGACGTTGCATGCGTTATATACCTACCAGTAGACAAATTTAAAATCTCTCACACTCTTAAAAAATTAGCATAAACATTTCACGTTTAACAATCATTAGTTATAACTTTATTACACTAAGTCATATCATATGGGTATGTTTTGAAAACGGGAATTAGTTTACATTTAAGCCACACGTGCATACAAATTATTTGAAAATTTATAACTTTTTAACGAGGGTTGTGTTATTTACCTTTTGTTTTTAAGCTGTTCATTCTTCATCTTTATCAGATATATCGGTAAAAATCAAATACATTCCCCTTTTGAACTTGTAATTACATGTAGCATGCTCCATGCTCTGAAAACCAGCACATGTATATTCCGAAACCGCCTCGTAGTAAAAAATGTCACCAAAACGTAGAATTATTACTCCTGTGGACTTGAAATAAACATCCGTTTGATTTTGACTGTATTCCGTAACCGCCTCGTCGTCAGAAATAACAATAAAAACTAGAATTATTACTCCCGTGAACTTGTAATAATCATCCGTGTGATTTTGACTATATTCCGAAACTGCCTCGTTGTCAGAAATATCACCAAAAAGTAAATTTCTTTCTCCTTTGCACTTGTAAAAAATTAGTTTGACTATATTCCGGTCCGACGCTCCTTGTTTATCAGAAATGTCACTTAAAAGTAGATGTTTGCCTTCTGCAGCAGGCCCAGATACATGTAGGTGTGGCTCAGCTGAGAAACGCACGGTCAGTGTCGACGATTGATTTAATACTTTTCACGCCAGTTAAACGTCCATGACAAGTACCCTGTATTTAGCAAAAATTGACCAAATTGGTCAGACATTATGTAAGGGCCCCTTTACACTGGACGGCGTCCTTTCTGCGTCCAGCAGCACGGCCCCATTTGAGAGTTAAAAAATTATAATATTTTACGTGCCGACAACTGGCCGATCATTGAGCGTTCTTCTGATACAAAATCAGTGCTCGTGCTTCTTTATTAAGACCACAGCGATGCCAAATTTCATGGTCGCAGAGAGGACGCAGAAAGGACGCCGTCCAGTGTAAAGGGGGTATAAGAATTTGGTGGGAGGTGACCAGCGCACGTGGACGAGTTTATTTCATCTCTAGAGCGTGATATAGGGTCACTTTATTCGGTTTTAGGGGTGTTTTAGGATGAAATGACTATTTTTTCTCGGTATGTATGTCAAATATTAGACCACGGTGGAAGTGAAGAACAAAAGACTCAGACGTGGTGTAACTCGCATAACCGCACGTCTCGCACGAATGCGTTATAACCCGCTAATGGACCCGTGGTCTAAATAAGATAGACCCCTCGTCAGCGAAGGTTATGTGACATCCACTCGTGCTACGCACTCGTGTATGCCACATAACCCTCGCTGACTCGGGGTCTATCTATAACATACACTGTCACCCTCTCGCTGACGCTCGAGGTGTTATGGCATATATCGCTCGGGTGACAGTGTATTATCTCACACATAAAGCTTGTCATGAAAATGCATGCATTGTGGATTTTGGTATCTAATATGAAAGCACATACTGTACATGTATATCATTGACAATTTGTGCGTTTTCTTTACATTTCATGCACATCTGACCTTAAGTGAGGTCAGTGAATTTCCAAACGTGACCCATAGAACAGTAACATGATCATCAGTATTAGTTCATATAATTAAATATAAAACATGTCTATTGAAAAAAAAATAGCGCTGGACTCTAATCAACAGTACAAGTATATAAAGGGGAAGTTTTATCACACACAAAAATAAGGAAATGTCTTGAACCCATTATTAGGGAAACTCAACTCTACTGCCAGGTGCTATAGGGTGTGTAAATGAACTCTGTCGATTTTGACGACCAGATATGTCCGACAGACAAAAAAAGAACCAGATGTGTCCGACAGGCCAGATACCCCCTGTATCTGGCCTGTCGGACACATCTGGCTCTTTTTGGTCGGACATGTCTAGTCTTCTCTGGTCGTAGGACATATCTAGCCTGTCGGACATATCGGGTCGTCACAGTCGATCCTGTAAGTTCTCATGGAAACATATTCTCTGTTCACATGGGTTAATATAACATTATTTTGTGCACGAACGTAATATCAAACTTTCAAACTAATATCTCCCTTTATTTCCTTTGATGTTTAAAATGGAAAATTGCAAGAATCGGTTACAATGAGAACGGTATTAATGTAGGCACTTTGTTACCTGAAGAAAATACATATAATTAAGCAAAGATTACTTATTTTGAAAACCATAACGAGTATATTATTTTGAATGCTGGGTTTTCTTAATGCACACTTGAGCCTATAACTTGAGCCTTTAAAGATGCTGTACACTGTAGGCACATTTGTTTCAATCTCTGGAGTTTGCACTTATATGTATTACTGCTGTCTTATCGAAAAAGATCATTAATTATTGGGCATCCAAAAAGACAACAATTGCAATCAAAGTTTCCTGTGACTGGATGATACCCGTTAGCGAACCTTGTCTTTTAAACAATTTGAAGCATATTTTAAAAGAAACCATACACTCTATCACCCATACCGGTGAGCTGGGTAACTACACACATGTACTGGTGGTTATTGATCTCAACTGTGATCTACGTCAGTGTTGATCCGAAAGAAAAAAATGTAACCTTAAAATGTTCCTTAGGATCCCATTGCTCCATCACCTGACTGTTTCTTTACTACAACTGCTCAAATGTCACAGTTTTGATGTCGTTGGTTTGTACCCGCAGTTGCCCCTCTTCTTAAAGAAACAATTAGTAAAGTTTTTATTTTCCTTTATAGAAAGCTACTGATATAAACTTCACTGCGGTACTTTCCCCATAAAAATAACATTACTTTCAACATGTAACTTATAATTTCCATTTCGATGGTGGTAACTGCTTGGTAAGGATTGCAGGTCCATTCACAAGCCTACATCTGGAGGTTGACATAGGTGTCAAATTTACGGACGTATTCTTCAACCACATCGTAGCAAAATACATACTGTTCCTATAAAATAAAACGCAGGGTATATTTACATACAACTGTGAGTTCATAGATAAACCAGCTTCAAAGAAGATGAATAATTGATATGCATGTATTATATTTTGAAAAGCTGTGTATTGTAGATTTGGACACTTTATTTCTATCAAAGCGTCTGGTGTTTACTAGCGGTCTCTACTCACAGTGTGAAGGTGGGTGTTTGTCACCCAAATAAGACATGTATTGTAATCACGTTACCTTGCTATCGACCAGCTGTGGTCTGTTTTGTCTGACAGCCTTCACCGTGTGGAAGACATCCACTTCCTGCTCCACCTTCAGCTTGTCCAGTATGCGAGCCACGGCACAGAACAACCCGCTCTGGTGGGCTCCGTTCCTTTATTAAAGAAAAAATAAAAAGATGGGTTTCCTGTGTCTCAAATATTATTTTGGGTAGAAAGAAAATAATAACAAGATGGGTTTCCTGTGCCTCAAATATTATTTTGGGTATTAAGAAAATAATAACAAGATGGGTTTCCTGTGGCTCAAATATTATTTTGGGTACAAAGAAAATAAATGACTATCCAATAATGATTTACTAGAGAAATTTGTTTTATGAATAATTGATTCAACAGAGAGGGCAGAAAAATGTGGCGTTAAAATACGACTTATGCATACCATATCAAATTAATATAATAAATAATACTTATAATTTTATTTGAATATTAAATAACCAAATTTCCTTCCAGTTTAAAGAAAAGTAATACAACATATAACTGGCATTTGGCGGTGGCTGTAAAAACTCACATGCAGTGAACAGTTATGGGAGTGTCTCCACGTTTTTGTTGCCACTGTTGAACAGCATCAAACAGCTCAAGAAACACACGCGGGGATGGCGGCACTGGTTTTGAAGTCACCCAGTCCTGAAACTGGAATTGGCAGACTTTTCTTGCGGACCCCGAGTGCTATAAAATTGAAGGAAAATAAGAATTTAGTGATAACAACGTTTGTTATATCTAGATTAAATCCCTTTTAAACATAATGTGTTATTTAAGATTAATACTCCATTAAGGATACGTATCCCGATATTCCAAATGCAGCAAAATATGAAAGAAGAAAAATTAGACATAATACCGGTAGGTCTTCTTTGATATAGAACGTGCAAGATCAAAGGAGGCTATCTTAAGTTAGAAAACAAACCGTTTTCTTGCCTGAGCTTAGACCATAATTACAAACGTTTACACTGTAAGGTTTATAGTTTACCTCTATTGTGCAATAAAGGTAATCTAAACCTTACATAATTATAGAAATTGTACTCACGTCCTTAGAATTGGTCACCCTCAACTCTCTAACGGTAATACGTTTCCCGCTCTGCCGCGTGGAGGTCATTTCTACATTAAAAGGACCGTAAGATGTCATCTTCTCTGTTGGCCAGTACACACCACTTGTCTGAGGAAATCAACGACTCAGGTGTATTAGTGGTGTTATTGGACAAAGAAAATAAACGCTTAAGGTTGAGATAAATGGAATTCTGCTTGTATTTTAAAGATGGATAAATGTAAATAAGACTAAATGTTACTTATAATTTTAACTTGACGCAAACATCGCCTCTATTGTCTCGAATTACATTCTCTCGGCAGTATCTGCAGTCTTTTACCTTGCTATCGTCATTAAGTTCATTCAGCATAACTATAGTCGCACATTGTTGGTCATACAGCATATTCCAGAAGTCAACGACCGTGTGAGGCAGAGGCATCTGCGTGATGATATAGGAATTTTGGCGTTGGTATCCCTAAAACATTTTGTTTCTAATATGTTGACTGCCACATATGCATGCATTACTTACACAGAATATTCGTTTATTTAAGAAAGCAACGGTTTTAAAGTCATTAAAACAAATACGCTTTTTACTTGAACGAACAGAATGGGTAATATATATTTGAAATTCGCTTTCAACATTTTTAAGACGATACATGTACAAGTCTAATCAGAATGTAGAACTGTTTATGAGAAAAGTACTTAAACCATACGTCTATGAACACTGCATTAATGTAATCAGTGCTGTCCTCCGCGTATGATGTAAGGCGTGGTCTGCAGTGGTTGCCTTCATATTGAAACAGACAAAATAAGTCATTTGTTTCGTAACAGATGTAGTAATTCAACAATATGTTTACGTGGTTTAATACAAACATAAAAAAATACTGCGATACGGAGAGTATTTTAGATATTATTTAAAAAAGGAATATAAGTGCTATAAAAAAGAAACCTCAAAATGCATTATCCGCTGAATCTAATTAAAGACTGGAGAAATCTATATGTAGACGCAAAAGTTTAAAGATAAATAGATCCAACAAATAACCAAAGCACCGAAGCATATTACACGTATTACAAACAAAAATACCGGATGATAAAGAGAACTTACGTACGGTGAGATACACTGTAAGTTCGAAATGGTATAAAACTTACCTGCTACAATATTAGTCACTCTATTCTTGTCAATGTTGATGGGCTCCAGGGCAGTCTTTGTGGAACTTTCTTCTATTTCAGGCAGCATGAGGCCCAGTGCCTGGTCAACGAAGAAATATTAATAAAGTGCACTTACATATATAGTTAACTATGAGTGCTTCTTGCAAACAGTTGAATTTTCAAAACCACCTACAAAATTTAAAGGGATAATAACTCTTCGTTTCAGCCAAAAACTACAATTAAGATAATTAATTGTATTTATGTAGGAAATGGTTTGTTTTTAGTGGTGGTAATAGCTTTGTTGGTAATCCATCTACGCTTTGTTTATAGGAAGTAGTCTGGGTTTAGGTCTTGTGTCTGCACATTTTGATCTTAAGCAGTTGACCAAGGCAAGGTGATGTCCAGGGTCAAATTGTCTTAGCTGCTGTGTATCTAGGCAGTTAATTTTAGATGAGTTTTAGGAAACTACTTCTTGCGAGCTGCATCAGCGAGAAGTCATTCAGCCTTTTAGCTGCGATGATATGTACACGCAATTTCAGCAGCTTCACAGTATTATAATTTCTTGCGTTTCTTTATTTTAATTTTACATTGGTTACCAGCCATCAACTTTTGTGATTTCAAGATTTGGGGACGGCCAGTTTCTTGATACTTGGTGACTGTATTTTCTTCGGATATTATTCTGTTTTTCCCAGCCACCAGTTTTGTTATCAAGTTTCGGCGACGGCTGTTTCCTTTTATTTGGGAGACTTCACCTTCAAGTTCTTGGATCATACACAGGCCAGTAATTTTATATTATCGTCATTTTCCCCTTATTCACGTGTTCTAATAATCAGATTTATAGTTTGTCATGTGCTGCAGTTGTTAAGTAATTTGTTTAGATGTCACTTTATCTTGATATTCTTCAAATTTTGTTTTCCTCTTTGTGTGTAGCTATTTTATTCATGTTGATCTTCTTACCGGGCCAGGAATTCCGCTGTTTTTACATTTTCGGCTGTCGTTGACATGTCGTAATCTATACGTTTCTGTCTTCATATTGTTTCCGTGTCCGCATTACCAGGTGCCGTGTTTTTATGGGTTTCTGGTCGACTAGGCTACATGCATTTTTGGAGTTGTTATGCTCTTTGTTTTGGGTGTACTTCCCAGNATGTTATTTAAGATTAATACTCCATTAAGGATACGTATCCCGATATTCCAAATGCAGCAAAATATGAAAGAAGAAAAATTAGACATAATACCGGTAGGTCTTCTTTGATATAGAACGTGCAAGATCAAAGGAGGCTATCTTAAGTTAGAAAACAAACCGTTTTCTTGCCTGAGCTTAGACCATAATTACAATCGTTTACACTGTAAGGTTTATAGTTTACCTCTATTGTGCAATAAAAGTAATCTAAACCTTACATAATTATAGAAATTGTACTCACGTCCTTAGAATTGGTCACCCTCAACTCTCTAACGGTAATACGTTTCCCGCTCTGGCGCGTGGAGGTCATTTCTACATTAAAAGGACCGTAAGATGTCATCTTCTCTGTTGGCCAGTACACACCACTTGTCTGAAAAAATCAACGACTCAGATGTATTAGTGGTGTTATTGGACAAAGAAAATAAACGCTTTAGTTTGAGATAAATGGAATTCTGCTTGTATTTTAAAGACGGATAAATGTAGTATGTATTTGTAAAAATCAAAAATAAGCCTAAATGTTACTTATAATTTTAACTTGACGCAAACATCGCCTCTATTGTCTCGAATAACATTCTCTCGGCAGTATCTGCAGCCTTTTACCTTGCTATCGTCATTAAGTTCATTCAGCATAACTATAGTCGCACATTGTTGGTCATACAGCATACTCCAGAAGTCAACGATCGTATGAGGCAGAGGCATCTGCGTGATGATATAGGAATTTTGGCGTTGGTATCCCTAAAACAATTTGTTTCTAATATGTTGACTGCCACATATGCATGCATTACTTACACAGAATATTCGTTTATTTAAGAAAGCAACGGTTTTAAAGTCATTAAAACAAATACGCTTTTTACTTGAACGAACAGAATGGGTAATATATATTTGAAATTCGCTTTCAACATTTTTAAGACGATACATGTACAAGTCTAATCAGAATGTAGAACTGTTTATGAGAAAAGTACTTAAACCATACGTCTATGAACACTGCATTAATGTAATCAGTGCTGTCCTCCGCGTATGATGTAAGGCGTGGTCTGCAGTGGTTGCCTTCATATTGAAACAGACAAAATAAGTCATTTGTTTCGTAACAGATGTAGTAATTCAACATTATGTTTACGTGTTTTAATACAAACATTAAAAAAATACTGCGATACGGAGAGTATTTTAGATATTATTTAAAAAAGGAATATAAGTGCTATAAAAAAGAAACCTCAAAATGCATTATCCGCTGAATCTAATTAAAGACTGGAGAAATCTATATGTAGACGCAAAAGTTTAAAGATAAAAAGGTCCAACAAATAACCAAAGCACCGAAGCATATTACACGTATTACAAACAAAAATACCGGATGATAAAGAGAACTTACGTACGGTGAGATACACTGTAAGTTCGAAGTGGTTTAAAATTTACCTGCTACAATATTAGTCACTCTATTTTTGCCAATGTTGATGGGCTCCAGGGCAGTCTTTGTGGAACTTTCTTCTATTTCAGGCAGCATGAGGCCCAGTACCTGGCCAACGAAGAAAAATTAATACATTGCACTTACATACATAGTTAACTACATGTATGAGTGCTTCTTGCAAACAGTTGTATTTCAAAACCACTTACAAAATTTAACAAATGTTAATTAAAACTTACGCCATCATTCAAAATTAACAAACATTTTGTCCGTGACTTACAGCAAACTCTTCTTCCATTTTGGTCAGTCCAGTCTTGTTCCTTTGTCTCAGTTTTCTCAAACGAGAGGCAAGATCCTGTAGTCTTATGAAGGTAATGCCACAATGCAACTCTTCCAACAATGTGTCATGTATGAAGTAATATTGCTCCTGAAACAAGCAGGCCGAGGTCATTTCTAATACATCAAATACCAGCCAGCGATATTTCAACAAAACATACCTTGTACCAAAAACGAAATATTGACATCGTTTCAATTGTAGTATAACAACGTGTTCTACTGTTACAATTACGGCACCTCATTGTCAAACCACGTTATATATACCTTGTAAGGTAATAGGGTACTCCACAAACTGCATTACCACATGTTTATGTATACATTTAAGGTAAAGGATACTGAGTGACAATTTAATAGACTAGTAAAATGAAATACCTTTGTCTGTACCATTTTCGGCCGAGATGCTCGCAATGACTGAACGAGTCGGAATACGTCCACCTTTCCCTCCGCCAGCGCTTGTTCAAACAGATAGTCCAGTGCGATAAAAGTACCAGTGTTGCCAACCCCGTCGCTAAAAATAGAGAAAACAAACTTGATTTTAGCAACTGGCCTCTTTGTGTAAATATGCGGCACGATATGTGCTATCATATTTGATGCCGTGGAGTAAAAAATCTACTGGTTAATGTAAGATAAATTCATTAAAATATAAAAAGTCTGGTTATATGTTGATCAATTCTCACAAAACAACGAGGTAAAATTGTTTTTCACCTGCAGTGCACAACGACTGGTCCTTGGCCCTCAACTAGGATGTCATGCTTCTCAACTTCCTCTCGGAATTTTACCAAAGCCGTCGGGTCAATAGGTACGCCGTTATCAGGCCAACCAGTGAAGTGGAACTGTTTGACAGTGTGGACTGTCGGATGACCTACCTTTAGATGAAGGACAATATACCATGGATTGAGACATTTTAGACAGATGTCTTCAATGAAATCAAACACCTACTATAATATGTTAATACTTACAAAAACACTTTTGATTAGTCAGTTTGACATATAGGTCTGTGAATGTTCTGCTTACTTTACAATACTGCAGATTTCGTACAAAAAAGTCCTGTCCTTGGACTTCATCTAGCGTTGTGACTTGTATTTCGCCAAACTGTTTCATTCCTTCGTCTGCCCAGTACTGCTCACATTTTTGCTGAAGTAGAAAGGGTTATTATTAGGTCTCATATTGAAATACATCACATATACAAGAATATATACAATATACAGTTCCATTTTATCGCATCGTTTACTTTGTCTTACTTAAATATAAAAAACTTGAAGCTCTTTCAGAACAGCAGACTAAGAGTGCATTAAGAACAGATGATCCGCGAACTAACTGATCGGCTGACTAAATGTGGCCGACTCCACTAAAAAGCGTTGCCGCTAATTTCCTGATGATCTCCCCGCCTCCACCCGTGCCTAAAACAGATAAAGGCTCGATCGGCTCTTAGGTTTAATTGCCCTGCAGGCAATTAGGCGGTCATATTTAGTCAGCGGATCAGTTAGCCCGCGGATCAACTCGTTCTGAATGCCCTCTAATGAAACATGGCCGTGTAATCCCCGCGAGGTATCTACTAATCGGGAATTAAGCTGCAAGCTTTCAATGGGTCGCAATATTTGATCCGCGGATCTGTTAGACCGCTGTTCTGAATGCGCTCTATGGGATTGACCTACCTTGCCCATTTCTACAGTTTTCGTCAACATTACAATTTGTGGAGACTTGACTTGCCATACCATCCGCCAGAAGTCATTTACGGTGTTTGATTTTGGACCTATTCCAGGAAAAAAACAGTTTCATGCTAGTATTGTCATTATGCATTACCCATAATTAAACATCTATTTTCCAGTGTCACAACTTAACTGAGAAATAGCGAAACATACTTGTCGATGGAACTAAATTAGGATTCATAAATATGGTGTGTGTGTGAGAGAGAGAGAGAGAGAGAGAGAGTAGAGTAGATATCGCTTAAGAAAATAAAATTACCCTGTGCAGCAATGAATGCTCGTGGCCTATTATACCCCTGAAATTGGAAAGTGCAATTGTCAAGTATGGCTTTTAAATGTGAGATGTAGCTAATTCTAAAATCAATGATACACATTTACGCATGAAATAAAACAAACGTATGTACACTTCCCCTGGTTAACACGGGACAAAAAGACACACTTAAGGTCGGACAGTTATAGAGTATTATGATGGCAGCATATAAAAAGAATGTAGTACGGATGTAAAATAACTCACATCAATATAGTTAGCGTTGATGTAGTCAGAGTTGGGATCATCTGGCAAAAGGTCTAATACAACTCGATTATGGTCGTCTGATGGAAAATAAATAGTTCGATAGATAATGGTAGTGAACGGATTCAGATATTAAACCAGTACAATCTTTTATCATGTAATGGAAGGCAAAACATGAATGACATCAAAAACACGCAGACCGTTATTATGCGCACCACTATATATTTTTATAATTAGCTAATTTTATTCCAATTATTTTTAGAATTTTTTCAGTTTCAATGACTTACAAGGAATGGTGTTCCTGAACCTGTTCTTTAGTTTATTTTCTCGTTTTTGACCGACTTCACAAGGGTATTTCAGTGTGAGAGGAAATTTCTGGAAAAAGGTTAATTTTTTTTAAACTGATTTTATAAACGCTCGTGTACATTTAATCAACTTAAGCTAACCGACGTAGGCTGTACGCTGTATATTAATTGCACACGTTTTATTGATAAATAAATAAACCATAAAACATACAGTTTTGTAACAGCATTATTGGGGCTCATCTCCAAAGAAACCATCGCTCTACGTACAGGTAGATCGATCGAACGCCGCAGGGACTCTCGCTGAATGCAATAACCTTAACATATTAACACGTTTCTTACAGCGCTGAGTAGAATCCAGAAAAGCTGGTGGTTAAACCAGTGCGTTGGGAACGAGGAGGTATGTCAATATATTGATCTGATTGCATTGAGGAAGAGCTCCCGCAGAGGTTCATCGGTCTACGTAGAACGATAGGTTCATGGGGAACAGGCCCTTAAATTGGCTATGTGGTCACGTGCTTTAACAAGGTACTGTTTTTAGTAAAATGTATATTTAAAATGGACTGTATGTCCTACTGAAACGTGGACAATTCAAACCTGATATTCGCCGTGAAGAATATATCTGGCTTTCAATTTCATGACCTCATAAATGTTCTCGACAGAGATTTCTGTGTTTTGTTTGATGCTGCTATAGAGATGCTCGTCTTCCGTGTTTTCATACATAACTTGAACCGGAGATTCATATACATGGTCATCTAGATCTGAAGATATAAAGTCAAAAAGGGGATAATGGCATGTACTTTTTAATGAAATACTGTACATGTACATGTAGAATAAAAGCTGTTGGACATAACAGCTTTTGGTGTAAATAACTACCTTCTTTTCTCTGCAATTCAGAAAAGGCCTCAACTTGATCAAGCTCTTGAGGGCGTCGCCTTCTGCAAAACAAGTTTACAAATAAGAGTAAGAGAGTCTTGAACACGACCTTGACTTCCACATGTACAACATAATTAAGTATTTTATTTGTGAAATTTGTAGATGACTCAATTTGATGTGTTGGGTCGCATTTACAACATATAATTTTACCGTATCATATGGTTATCTAATTTCAAGTTTTTTAGAGATCCATAGTACATGCATGTAAACCTTGCTCTATGTATACCAAGATTATGAAGTTTACTCTTGCACATGAAAAATAAGACCACAAATATACATTATAACGTCTACATTTTTACATTTACATTTTGTTTATTTAAGGACTATCTATCGTAATCTACAAAGGTTTACCTTTTGTATATGAGAACAACAACCACAAATACCACCACCAGGACCAGAACCCCCAACACACCTCCTGCTACAGCACCACCATTTATACCTGTGGCAGGAACCGAAGACGCTAGGAAGAAAGGAGACACAGGAGATAAAACACCCTGAATTCAGTTGGAAACTTTCGCCATTTAAATAAATCTCTTTTAATAAATAAGTAAAAGCCAACTTTGATTTTAAAACCTGAAGAAATAATTTTGCAAACTGTGTAGCACAATTGCCACACAGAATTTCTAATGGGTTCATGTAGCTATGACACTGACTACACTCACTTTGGCTGAGTTGAGATACCAGATACCTTTTTCTGTATCCGTTGTTGCCTGAATTGCATCACTATATTCGCCATACCCGACAGCTGTTTTGGCGCGGATCTAAAGTGACAATAATGCTCAAGATGGAAGCAGTGAAATTGGGTAACAGTGCAATACATCAACTTAGTGGGTTTTTTTCATAAAACAACATTAAGCTATAATTTGTTCATTAAAATACCTTGGAGATTTGGTATGAAATATACTTACTCGAATCACGTAGGTGGAATTGAACTGCAAATCGACAATATACATACTAGAACTGTCTGCAGTAGTCACCGTATCATTCCATAGACTGGACTGTTGAGTGTACGATATCTCGTAACTGACGATAACGCCACCTGGAGGGGACGGCGCACGCCAGGTTATCTCTATGAAACTGTCTCCAGTAGATGTCACCTCTGGTGCCGCCATCTTTGATGGAACTGTAACACAAAATTATAGTGTTTCACGTAAAAAAAAATGTCCATTTTCTGTTAACTGCAGTTAATAACCTGATCTTTAAGAAATAATAATACTTGACGTTGTATTTTCTGTGCAGTTTAATAAGCAACATGCTTCCTTAAATGATGAGATTTTCATGAACATTTAATTGAAAAACTTACTCCCTTCAGCTGTAGTATGCATCACAATCACTGGTGGCCCTTGCAGATATAAGTTGTTAACTGCTGTCAGGTAGATGGTGTATTTACTATATGTTGTGAGGTTGGTAATGGTAATCAGCTGTGTTTCTTTGACTTGCAGCACGTCTGTTGTACCACTGTTGAATTCTCCTTCATATCGCACGGTCAATTTTGCAAACCCGTCGCATCTATGGATATCTTGGTTCATCCCCTAAAATCAGTGGATACTTTTGAAATTGAATCCACAGATAAAAGCCAACAAAATGAGGATAAAATGCTTTACAATAGTACATTACATCTTATCCCGGGGTCCAACTAGCCCCGGTCTCCCCTAGTACATTTACACATTACAACTGGCATGGTTACTTCTTCTTTAGCCATACCGTCATTTTTTGTAAATTAATTTAAAGATAATGGTACATTAAAATAATATCACTGAGCCAATATTTCTGGAATGCCTGATTAGCACTTTCGGAGATAACCCAAAACACCTGTTTTCATGCAAACAGATTTCAAAAATAAATCGGTAATCAAAAGCAATATGCGAATATCCGTCAGAAAACACGAAACTCTGCTTTGCTCGTTACAGTTACTTGACCATATAAGTGTTTTGAAGAAGTGTATTTTAATACATTAAAATGCAATATACGCACCTTTGTCTTTATCTGTATGTCTGTTGATCTTTTTGATGGGGAGAGAAAAGATTCTACGTTTGGTTTCGGTGGTATCTCAGGTTCTGAAAAATGGTCAATATTTTTTTAATTAAAAATCTTGGAATGTCTAAACCAATTTAACAAAGCCTGAGGTATTTTCGTGTATAATTTTATATAACAAATGAACTTATTTATCGCAAAAAGGAAGGTAAGCCAATCGCGGGCACAATATCTTAATTACCTCCACATGTTCTAGCGGTGGTGGATGGGCTAGGAAAACCATAATATCCAGCATTATTCTTAATAGTTACAGTGAAATCATATTTTGTGTACTGAGAAAGATTTGTGATTGTTGTTGTATAATTTTCTGATGATACTGTTACGCTGATGGGTTGGCCATTCTGCCGCCAAGCTCTAATGACGTAGCTGTGAACACTATCACCCCCTGATTGGGTCGGCGGTGACCACTTTTGCCACGTTATGGTGAGTGAACTCTGTGTCCTGGCAGACAAATTTGGTGCTGTGGACAGATGAGGGAGTGAAGATGTTGCTGTAAAATAAAATTGAAACAAAAGAAAGCAAAATGAAAATATTTTTACCTCCGCCAAGGAGGTTATGTTTTCACCCCAGTTTGTTTGTTTGTCTGTCTGTCATCAACATAACTCATAAAGTTATGGACGTATTTTGATGAAATTATCAGGAACTGTCAGAAGAGGGCCAAGGAACAGATGATTAGTTTTTGGTGGTGATCCAGATCAATTATCAATCAATAATCAAAAATATCGAAAATTTAGGGGTGAAACGACATTGGATGGAGACTTTACTGCCTTGGCGGAGGTCTGCTCTCTCTGAGTGCTTTTCTAGTTTTAGACTTGTGAAGAGTCTTTTGTCTATAGCTATTTATATTAGTTTGATCTTACCATCCAATATTTTCTAGTTTTGAATTTGATTCACAATGATATTTCTACGTAGGCATTTATGCTGCGTAGGAGCATAGCATATGTTATGGAAGGCTAGTTGGCAATGAAAACCTGTATCTTAACTGTGTCAAATAACTGTTCACACAGATTAAAAAAGGGAAAGGCATGGATTCTTGAGATATATATATATATAGTGCCTATCACATACCGACTTGACATGTCCCATTATGTCCCTGCCATCCTTCAGCACAGCCAGATGTACAGACTCCATACACGGGGTGACACTGTTCATTGCTATCTCTACAGTTACAGCGGTTTCTGCATTCAGGACCCAGGTTTTTATTTGTACACTCTGAAATGAAATATATCAAACCTTATCTGTATATAACATATTACTCTATCGGAAGTATTGATGTTATCAAATTTGACAAACAGCAACATCTAAACGATATTTTGAGACAACGATGCGTTCAACGGAATAAAAGATTTTTTCCATCGAATCCCGGCCTTAAGATAGAGTGTAAAATTGAAACGTATTTTTTGAATGAACAATTGAATCGGTATACAAATATCGACATGCATTTCGTAAATGCATGTACATGTAGCTTCAACAGATTTAATATTTCTATGAAATATAATAACAATGCTAGTAAGGACAAGTGTAAATTGCATTTCGTAAATACATGTAGCTTTAACAGATTTAATATTTCTATGAAATATAACAACAATGCTAGTAAGGACAACGACGAATATACACCACATGCGTAAAATGTTTTACTGGTTTGATATTTACCTTCATATTTATACCCTTTAATTGTTACTTCGCAGAGTATTAAAGGAGCCGTACGCTCAATGTGGACAATCACGACTTGGCCTATGTACGGCTTCTGACACGACAATTCTATGCTTCCACCACGCGGAACTTGGGGACCATGCAATGCACATACGTCTCTACTGTAGGGAAATGTGTTGTTACGTATCGACACTTTTATATCAAGCAAATGTTTGCCGGCTGAAAGTTTAAAAATAAATACATCATTTGAAGCAAGAACTAAGCTATATTTGGCAAGTCAAATACATAACCAATGTGTTAGTTTGGCAGTAAAAAATAACCAGGGTATTGCTCTAGTTGCCATACATGTGCTGTACTTTTGATAAATACTAAATATATGCAAATGCAACATAGGGGCTACTGATTGATGTACTAGGTAAACAGTTAATTAAGTTATATATTAACTTAGAAAACAGTAGAGAGATGTGATATTAGGACAACACAAACAAAACAATAATGCCCCAGATATACCACAGCTTGGAATGGTGAAGTAGATGATACAGCGGGAACATGACCCTCCCTTAGTTTTTGAGCCCCCCCCCCCCCTTTTCCCCTGCCTTCTCCCAAAACACAGTATAACGAGTAAATTTAGACCAATAATAAATAATACTGATGTCCCACTAGTACATATCACAGTAAAATTGTGTTATTTTACTTTTATTTCAAGCAAAGCAAAGAGAATGTGAGCGGAATGCAGCATACTGCAAAAAGCGTACATTTACAATTTAGGCTTAGACGATGGTTAATATTTGGAAGTCCGGGGCCCCATATTGTTAGTTAATTTAGGGTATATCACAGTATTGGTTTAAGTATATGGGACGGATGGTGAACAGACTACGGTTCTTAGAGGACTACCATTCCTGTCAAACTGGGTGAAATCACCTGAACATTCACGTACTGGTCTATTTACAATACCCAACATGTTGGTACAACTGCCCCCTCTAAATGTCAGAAACGTTCACGATCACAAAATAGAAAAATGTTACAACCGTCATCTTACAGCTCCTATATAGATCTCGTAGTAAAACGCAAAATGCTACAAATGTTTTAAAATTTTAATGCACTACAATGCTGCAGCTTTATTCCTTTTTTCACGAGCATTTTATTCGTAATTTTGTTATTGTGCGTGCGTTTATTTACCTTGGGGTATATATCGACACCCATGGTTTTTCATGATTCATTCTTAGTCTAGATTACAGGTTTAAATTGTAGGTGATTCATAAACATCGAGTGCTTGTGGCCAAGAGATTAGTGAATGGATCACCGATCGACGGCAAATACTTGACATTGAATATGGAATATGTCAGTTTCGAAGGTATGTCTAGGTAAAAATCCGTTCTTTTTTTAAAAAAATCCGATCTCTTATAAGATACGTGAATAGAGAAGTGTGTAGTCAGGTGTGTCGCTACCAATTAATTGAATACCAGGTTTGTTGCGCTGCTGCATGTAATATGCAGTGATTTAATTGGGTAGTGCTCCTTTGGGCAGGTCAAAGCTTGGCTTTGGCAAAGCATGGTTCTGTCAAAAAAGTATCCATATGTCGGCAACTACTGCATAGAAGAATTTGAAATTTTGCATACAAGTGGTCGGTTTTGCAGTGTGTAAAATGAGCTATGCAGTGCTTTACAAATTTGTTAATCTGTGGCAAAATGGCGAGAAAAAGACAGACATTGCCAGACAGATAATTGCGCCAAACGAAACGGTCCGCACAGTTTTATAGAGTAATACCCAGACTGATGTACCTACACAGAGGCCACACCCATTGTATTGAAATCTCACCACCAGGTTAAAGGACCCACTGTCTTTTGGGATATGCTGTTGCAACTAAACAAAAACCACCCAGTCCTTTCAGAGTAAGGGGTGAATTGTCACCAAAACGCATTTTCGGGGCCCTTAGCTAACACCAACTGATTTAAGCAGGTTAGAATACCAGACGACCTCCAAGAAACCCACTGTAAACAGCAAAACATCGTTGTATGTTTCTCTAATAAACTGGGGACCTTGACCGTTTCTGGGTTGAACACTGAAACCTCGTGGCTTTCTTTATTGAGGTCAGATTTCACCTGTAGTGCTCAACGTGTCAAAACAGAGTTTACAGACATCCAGATGAGGCCAATGACGAAGCGTGTGCCGCGTCTAAAGTGCCTAAGGTCATTAACAGCGTCAGTATTTGGGGTGGATACCACGTTGGTGACAAAACACCAATGGTAGTCATCGACGAAAACCTAAACCAGGTCAAATAAAGGGATAATCTGGCAACCACTTGACTATCATTTGATAGGGGCAACTTGGGTACAATTTTAGGTTGCACGGTGAGATTGCCGAATCACACAGATTACTTTTAATAGCAGATTACTTACCGAACCAAGGGAATGAGCAACTACCTTGGTCATCAAAATCGCCATATTTGAACCACATAGACAATATGTGGGAAGGCCATTACTCGCCGAATCAATGGCCTACATGTCTTACAACAAAACTAGACCAAATTGGACAGATTTTGACCGATGCCTAGAATGTTACTCCAGATTGAACTCAAAAAACCTATCCCAAGGAATGCCTTGCCACTTGAGAGCGCTAGTAGCAGCCAGAAGAGGTAAGGCCTAACAGCGACCGTAAGGCCCCTCTTTCACACAGACCACGAATCCCACGAATCGCCAGGAATTGAAAAATTTCAGGATTCGTGAGGATTCGTGAGATTTTGCCAATTTTCTGGTCTAATTCGACACGCTCACGATTCAGTTACGATACAGGTTCGATGGTGTTACGAATATTCGTGGGATTCGGCTGGAATCGCACGAATATTGTCCAGAAATTCACTACGATTTTTTGAAATCGGGTGTTCGTGGCCAACACTTTGAACAGCTCAACTTTTTTGCCACGAATTCCCGATTGATCAAGAATTGCAAGAACTGACTACGATTATATACGAATCTGTTAAGAACTTCACGAACTGATAACGATTCAACCACGAATCCTGAAATTTTCAATTCCTGGCGATTCGTGGGATTCGTGGTCTGTGTGAAATAGGGGCATCAACGTTTTTGCCACCAATTCCTGTTGGTCAAGAACTGCAAGAACTGACTACGAATATATACGAATCTGTTAAGAACTTCACGAACTGATTACGATTCAAACACGAATCGTGAAATTTGTCAATTCATGGCCATTCGTGGGATTCGTGGTCTGTGTGAAATATGGGCATAACTGTGACTAGACACTGACATGAGGGTCCTTTGTGGAGCGTGTAACTCTTTTACAGACAATAATTTGGAAAATATGGAGGTCCAAAATATCTTTTAATGGTTGTCATATGACATAGAATAGGCAATGTGTTTTTGTTTGCTTCTCTGGCGAATTCCATTAATGAACTGATGTCACAATGACATCAAAGAGATAATCAAAAGTTAGTAAAACACGATTTTAATCCTAATTTTCATTTATCAGTCAGCAAAATAGGAAAAAACTGATGAAAAATGATTGGGAAAAAATATTCCACTGTTCATTGGTATCTCTACAGTTACAGCGATATCTGCATTCAGGACCAAGAGTTTGATTTGTGCAGTCTGAAAATAATATATATATATATATATATATATATATATATATATATATATATATACCCGGTATATATATATTTTTTTTTTCATTCACCATGAGTTCATAAAAACAAAATGAAATGTATCTGTGAGTATGGAGGAAAGTGTTGGACGAGTTGGTTATTTCACAATCATGCATTTATGTGTATGTCACCACAAGTGGACACTAGTGATAAAACAAATACCAAGACGTATACTTACAGTCAGGGCCATCATCTCTGTTAAATAGCGTCACACTATAAACCACGTACTTCTGGCCCAGGTCTACCCGCCACCAGGGGTATGATATTAGCTGTGTGTGAGTACATGACCCAGCATGGAAATTTGCATTAACATTCCCGTCTATAGCACGACTTGCAACTGCACCAGCGACCACACTGGTTTGATGTGCAGTTTTACCAAGGGCGATATTATCTGAAAAACATCATTTGATCTACACGCGGTTTCGTCTTTAAGACGTTTGCTCTTTTTCTATTTTTTCTATTTGGCTCTTTACTAACGTATATTCCTGCTAGCATAATAAAATCAGTTACACAATTTCAGAGCGTGACGTTGCTGCACAAAGACGTGCACTTCAATGAAACTTCAAGTCACAACGGTGCATAAACATTAATCAGTAAGCTGTGCATTAAATATGAACATTTATCAACTGAAAAATGTTTATAAACTACAAATTACTGAAAAAAATTAACATGAAAAGTTTATGCGTGTCTCCTCTATTTACAAAGTCGACTTACAAGGATACGTGTAGCCCCGAACGATCATTTCACACAACCGTAATATTTGCAATCTAGATCTTCGTAACGTAACGTAGCGCGCCAAGATTGGTGGATCTATCATGTGCTCTAACATTGCAGTTGAACACCGTGTATTAGGAACAGATACATCTCTGCATCCAGTCTCTTGTACTGTGTTGTTGTTAATGCAGAGCCAGACACCTTGGAACTGACCTGATAAAATGGATTTTAACACATTTAATATATGCCTCAACACTTTTGATCAAAGTGGTTATCACACCTTTAATTGGAATTGCCGGCGTGACAATCATTTTGATAAAGAGTGTAGACAAACACAGCTTTGGGTGGATAAAAAGTAGTTCTTGCAAAAATGCATCATAAAAGCATTGAAAGGCAAGTTATATCTCCATAATGTCAAACTTACATATGTCAGCAAATCTAGTGGGTTTAATCAAAACGACGCTACGAACAACATATAAGCCCTCCAGGTCCACACTCCAGGTGGGATCGTCTGAGTAGTTTGTTCTTGTACATTTCAGGTTATCTGTGCTGTTGTCTCCATCCACTGCAAGATCTGCTGGGTATCTCACGCCACCTTCACTGTAGGTACTCGACTGTGTGGCTGGCTTTCCATGAGCTAAGTTGATATATTCTGAAATAAAAAACAATATTCAGAAACAAAAATGTAAGGCAATTCTAACTTAATACCGTACATATACATAAATAAGAAAGAATTAAAAACGACTAACCTTTATACGCATATTAAGTCTTGTGGAAATAAGTGTTAAAGGATGAGTGCTGATAAGAGGGTAAAAGTGCCCACCTTTGTACATAAAAAATAAATTGTGAATGAATGAAAAAAATGATACCAAATTAAAATTAAGGTCCTACACTTTTCTGATCCACTGTAGGTTTTTTTTAATTTTGAAATATCAAAATTTAATGTCAAAATGACCTTGTCAAACATTCATGAAAATATGAGTTTTAGGGGGTTTCTGGAATACATTGCTACATTTCTATAGCTGTGGTAAGATGACAACTGCAAAATTTTGTAATTGGGTACGGAAGGTGCCAATGTAAAAAAGAAAGGCAATATAAGAGTGGCCAATCATTGCTTGTCATCAATATTTTAGATTGCTTTATTCTTACATGTAGTGTTGATTGTAAGAAGAATCTCACAATGACTTGAGGATAAAAGATGTTCATTTTTTATATGAGCTTGTGCATAAGACAAGCTCATTATTCATGATTGAAAAGACATGAGGTTATATAAATATATGTAAAATGAAAATCAACTTGTCTTAGGGTTGGGCGTGATATCTACTCAAACTTTATAGGGACATTTTCAGTCCATATGCTTGCAGTCGGCCATGTTTCTTTCTGCCATGAGCTACATGCTTACATAGGATGACTAGACAGATAAAGTGAATATTTTGTACAAAGAGAACAACTCCAAAAACTGCAGGTCTTTGAAAGGAAAACAGGGGTTAGAGTCAGTAAAATATTTTCAGTTGCAACCAAAAAAAAGAAAATTCATTTTCTATTAATGGATGCTATCAAAAAAAAGTCCAAATACAGTAAGTATATTTTATTTCTATTCTTATTTCCTAGGATTAAGAAAGATTAAATGTAAAATGTGCTTGATATATTCAAAGTTATATTAATTATCATAGTAGGAGACGTACATTGTGGTGGCTCCTACTTTATATAGAGGCCCATGCTGTAATAGACCTCTACACATAAGGGTGGCCTGACCCAACCCACTCCTAATGGCCATGAAAGTACATTTTGTACAACCAAATTGTTGTGTAAATATCCCCTTTTACGTCTGTTTTTGCATAAAAAGTAAAATAAAAGGCTCCACCACACACACCCTAGTTTGCTTACTTATGACTTAACCTTCCACACCAGAACTATTCAATTTTCAGGAACTGTCAGATGTGGACCAAGGAACAGATGATTAGTTTTTGGTGGTGAATATTATCAATAATCAACCAATAACCAAAAATCAAAAATCAAAATACTAAGTTATGGACCGATTTTGATGAAATTTCGGGTACTGTCAGAAGTGATCCAAGGAACAGATGATTAGATTTTGGTGGTGATTTTGATCAATAATCAATCAATTATCAATAATTTGTTTGTTTGTTTGTTTGTCTGTCTGTCTGTCATCAACATAACTCAAAAGGTTATGGACCGATTTTGATGAAATTTTCAGAAACTGTCAGAAGTGGGCCAAGGAACAGATGATTAGTTTTTGGTGGTGATCCGGATCAATAATCAATCAATAATAATCAAAAATTGCTGTCTTGTACAAAATGTATATGCATATATAATACATGCTGGTCTAGGAGAAAAGTTACATAAAATAAATAAATAAATATGCTGAAACAAGTTGTCCTAGTTACAAGAATTTTATACTGTGGAGTGAAATCAGTGATGGCTTAAGTGAGAAAATACCGTAGTACACCACCCCTCCCTCTCTTCTCTTGTATGTAAAAATACAATTTCTTTCCCATTTACTTGTGCCACACCACAATTATTTAACATATAACTCTATTTTACACCACAAGACAAGTTTCATTAGAAAAAAATTATTTATGTTATATATATGCTGAAACAAGTTGCTCTGATTCATTAGACTGCTTAAAAGAGGTAAATCTGGCTACCCCCCTCACACCAAATAATATTTTTTCACGCAACAAAAATATGCATAAAATATATAATAGCAATTTATTTTTAAAAATTGTCGATGGGCATTTTGCCAATGGTTAACAGCATTCATCCTTTGCACAGAAACTGTACTGACATTAAAACAGATGCTCTACATCAACCCAATGCCGTATCCAAAGATAAATAACTAATAATTAATACTTCAATACAAATCCATGCACCCACCATCTTGACATCCTATTCCCCAGGGGTTGTCCACACAGTGTTCAGGGCATGTTCCTAGAGTCTGTTGACATCTCTGTCCTTGTTTACAGAAACACCCAGTCACATTGTCACATTGCCAGCCAAAATAACCGTCACCTTCCATACAGCAGATGGACATGTGTGCTGTTAATAAAAAGGAAACAAACAGTGTCACGCAAGTATAAATGTCATGACCGGAAGGTATGGCTGAGATCGATAAAATGCAGGGCATATAGACCTACAGTTTAATGTAACAAAAGAGGACGCCTCTCAGATTAGACAAACAATTTGGAAATACATGGCCTTACTTTTCTCTGAGCGTTTTTCATGGTTTTAACTCTGGTAGGGTCAGCTAATCGCACACATCACTATAAGTAAATTGGCAGTGGTCTTACATCGATCAAGAGCAAAGGTACTTAAACTATCCTCTAAATCCATATTTGAAAAAGAACTGTTATTCTATATGAGATGGCTTGTTCGATTTACCTGTTAAAAATATTGTCCAGACAACCAGGAAGCAAGTCGTCCTCGACACGGCAGCCATTTCTTCCTTTACTACGCACACAGTTCACACATACCTTAGCGCACTGCTGTTGTGATACTAGTATTGTACCTCGAGTAGGTTGACAAAAGATATCTTTACGCTCTAGAGGACAAAATGTAGAAAAACATACTCATTGACGCTTTTTTGGGTTAGGGGTTAAGTTGAAATCGAACATAAAGAAAATGAATTTAATACTTTTTTTCTGACTTCAAATGCCGGTGTGTCTGCTATGAGACATACATACAGTGTTTCATTTATTTTCACGTATCATGCACGAAAATTATTGTAAACCATTTTACTCATGCCGTCATTAAAATTATTAAATGTTAATATGTCCTTCACGAGGCACCAAGGTACAAATGTGTAGGGCAGTTGCTTTTTATTTATTTATTTTTATTTTATTTCATATTATTTATTTATTTATTTATCATTATTATTTTTTTATTTTGCAAATTTTGAATTAATGCACTTCATTATTTATACGTCGTTTCATTAAAATATTATGGACTTTTATATCTGGTATAAAATCATATATCCATGCACTTTTTATTTATATTTCATGCACGTCCGACATTAAGAGACCATACCCACATATTTTGGATCGATCTATCTCCCTGGGGAGTCTCTCTAAATTGCGATCAACTTAGCCAGCTTAAATGTCTGTCACGCCTATAGTAAAGCAGTTACGGGGTAGTTATCTTTACCTTAGCTGATTCGGTAGGCGTGACAGACATTTAAACTTCTTGAAGTGAATTGCAAATTAGTGTGAACACCCAGGGAGTTTGGTCGATCCAGATGGATCGATCTAAGTATGGGAACCCAGTCTAAGTGGCGTCAGTGAATTTCACGTCGGTGTGGGAGTCAGGGACTCTGGCCTTTTTGCAAGGTTATGGTTTCTTTATCTTTCCCTGCGCATTCGATTTCCATTATTATTTACAAACTTTATTCAAACAGACATATTTAAGCAGATGGTGGCTTTTTAATATTTATAATATGGATTATCAAAGAGCTGTAAAAAAGTTCATATATTTAAACTAATTGGTTTGCCTCTCCTGCTACATCCCAAGGAGTGAAGTGCATGTACGATTGAAAAAAATCAGAATGCACGGTCGGTATATACACAAAAATTATCAAAAAATACAATCAGTTGACTTTATTTACAGTGTCTTTAAAACTGTGTTAATACTCACGTTGGCACGTGTATGTGTTTGCCAAATGTTTTATTTTTAAATAATCACACCCGTATGACAGGATTGGTAGTCAGATAGCAAACCGTACTCCGTTCCCCATTACTTTGTACAGGTAGCATTCGTCCCATATACTGACCCCGATACTATGACTCACCCTAACCTGTACTTATCATACGGGACCCCGGAATTCTCTTCCTAAGACCAGTCCTGTCACATCGGTTCTCCCATATACATGTACTCCTAAAGCTAGTGGAAGTGGACAAATATTCGAGAATTTCTTTTTTTCTTTACATTAATAGTTGTAGCCTATTAGGCCTACATTAGTGAATCCGCAACCCCCATGCATCAATGTGACATAGTATAGGAATTCTAATGTTTTCTTTTCGCTACCTTGTATAAACCCTTTTATTTTAATGTTAATCAAACTGGGGAAGATTCGATAACTCTCCTTACAAATACAGCCTGCTAGCTACATGTACTTTCGTTTACTACGTAGGGTACGTGTTTTGTGTTGCTTTTCGTAAAGTGTGCTATAACTTCACTTGTTAATGCTATACCACCTTCCTATGTTTCTTCACATTTCACTCACCATGCTGGTGTAATTCGTGCTGTTTTGTGTACATGCATATCAAAACGTCTTAACGTTTCAGAAACATTTAAAACAACTAACCTGCTTCTACCTATCCCTCTTTTTCGCTTTGACTATGTACACATTGGTCAAGGAAGTATCCAGTAATAACAATGCTTTATCTCTACATGTACCTTTGAGTTGGTACGAGATATAAACATTGCTTCCTAGATTTGAGAGCTCAGTATATGCTTTTTATTTCTAGCATGTGATCTGTAGAATAAAGACATGATCATCTGTGCTAGTTCATATAACAAATTATAAAATATCTCTATACTTAGCTTTTATTTATTTTCTGAAGGCCACTGATTAAATACTACTTTCCCCATAAAGTCTCATTATTTTCAGAATTAAACGCATGATTTCCATGTCATTGTTGGAAACAGTTTAGCTACGACTTTGAGTCCCTCCGTTGGTCTACATATGGAGGTTGACGTACGTGTCAACTTTGTGGACGTATTCTTCAACCACATCGTAACAAAATGCATATTGTTCCTATAAAAAAAACACATGGTATATTTTTAATAAAATGAGATATTACAAAAATATGCTGTCATACTGGTAGGTATACCAGTTTCAAAAAGAACAGACGATTGATATGTGCATTGTACACGCGTGTACTTTTAGAAGAGTTGGGTATTCAGCACAACGTCACCTATGTATTTTCGGTCTCAGTGTGTTGTAAAATTTGCAGAGATACACATTCCTATTGAATATTACCTTGCTATCGATCAACTGTGGTCTGTTTTGTCTGACAGCCTTCACCGTGTGGAAGACATCCACTTCTTGCTCCACCTTCAGCTTGTCCAGTATGCGAGCCACGGCACAGAATAACCCGCTCTGGTGGGCTCCGTTCCTTTATTATAGAACAATAAACAAGATGGGGTTTCCATATGTTCCAATATTACTTTGGGTATGAAGAAAAAAATGATGATGATGTATAGGCAGTAAAGTTTATGAATTATGGGTTCACCAAAAAGGACAGAGGACATGGCGATGACGTTAGACACGTATATCATATTGTTATAATTCTATTTGAAAATTGATTGATTAAATTGGCTTACAGTTTGAAGAAAAGTAAAACAAGATGTTATTAGCAGCAGTCGGTGGTAACAACATATTCTTGTATCAATCTGGTAAAGGCTTTAAAAACTAAGAACGATAGGTAATTTTAGCTTGCGTTCATAAACCTAAAAATTATTTTATGAAAGCACGTGTCTTGTTTAACTTACATGCAGTGGACAGTTATGGAAGTGTTTTCACTTTTTTGTTGCCATTGTTGAACTGCGTCAAACAGCTCAAGAAACGCACGCGGTGATGGCGGCACTGGTTCTGATGTTATCCAGTCATGAAACTGGAATTGGCGAACTTCTCTTGGGGAGCCCGACTGCTATAAAATTTGAAGGAAATGAGGTATATCAAAATAGTGATACCAACGTTTGTTATGTTTATGTCCAATTGGGACACCTTTTCCAATATCCCAAATACATCAACCTATGATAGAAAGAAAATTAAAAAGGCTTTCTTTGATTATGAACGTGTTACATCTTGCGTTACTCTACACTGTATAAAGTTGCGAATAATTATATAATTCTGAAAAGGTACTCACATCTCGAGAATTGACCAATCTTAACTCTCTAACGGTGATGGCTTTCCCGCTCTGGCGCGTAGAGATTATTTCCACATTAAAAGGACCATAAGAAACCACTTTCTCTATTGGCCAGTACACACCACTTGTCTGAAGAAAAACACCAGTTCAGGTGTATTAGTGCTGTTTTGGGGAAATGAAAATACAAACCTCTGGTGCTTGCATCAAAGACGGTTAAATTAAACATGCATTTGGAATAATCAAAAATCAACATTTTGTTATCATTTTGACTTGACGTAAATACAAGAAGATGAATCTCTCGGTAGTATTTGTATTCTTTTACCTCTCTATCTTCACTGGATTCATTCAGCATAACTATTGTCGCACATTGCTGGTCAAACAACATACTCCAGAAGTCAACGATCGTATCAGGCAGAGGCATCTGCGTCACGATGTAGGCGTTTCGGCGTTGGTAACCCTAAAACATTTCGTTTCCTACATGTATATTTTAGGCGGTCGTACACACTACTATTACAAACGAAAATATTCGTATATTTAGGAAAACAATAGCTTTACAATCATTTCAAATAAAAGTTTATAACGTTACTTAAACCAATGGGATACATTTAATTGATATTTGTTTTCAACATTTTGAAAAGGTGATATATCCACAGTGTCTGATCACTAATTGTTTGTGAGTGAAGTGCTTAAACCGTACGTCTATGTAAACTGCATTAATGTAAGCAGTGCTGTCCTTCATGTACGATACAAGGCGTGGTCTGCAGTGGTTGCCTTCATATTGAAACAGATAAAAATAAACCATTTGCTTTAATACAAAATGTTACGTCATAAAAATTACAGCGTTTTTTGCGTGGTTAAACATTCAAATCTGGACAATTTTATAGATATACCTTGAGAAGAATAAAGGTACTAGAAAAGCACATCTCGAAATGTAAGCATTATCCAATTACTCTAAAAAAGACCACGGGTATATACGTGTATGGACGAAAACAGTTCCAGATTAATAGGTTGTTCTAATGATACGTATAATGAAACAAAACAAACCTGATGATAAAGTGAAGTTACGTACGGTGAGATAGGTTTGAAGTGGTTTAAAACTTACCTGCTACAATATTAGTCACTCTATTCTTGCCAATGTTGATGGCCTCCAGGGCAGTCTTTGTGGAACTTTCTTCTATTTCAGGCCGCATGAGACCCAGTACCTGGTCAACGGAAAATATGAAATAAACACACTGAAATTATGGAAAAAACACTTGGGTGCTTTTCGCATGTAGTTGAGTTTTCAAAGTTACTCTTGATTTTCCTCTTATTCAAATCTAACTAAATGATGAAACAAAGAAACATTTTATTCACGGCCTACCACAAACTCTTCTTCCATTTTGGTCAGTCCCGAGTGGCAAAGTCTTGCACTGACATAGAAGTAAAACCACAATGCAGTTCTTCCAACATCACATTATGGATGAAGTAAGATTGCTCCTATAAGAAGCAAACATAGCTCATTTTAAATAAACTGTATACCAGCCAGCAATATTTTAGCAACTCAAGTCGCTGTACAGGGCTCCGTAACTCGAAAGCATCGCGAATTGCGATAGCGATGTCACTTTTCGTTTCTAGGCTATTATATGGGGCGAGTAAATGCCGAGTTATGGAATAGGGAGGCTTGCGCTCGGTCGCAATGCCATTCGCGATGCTTTCGAGTTACGGAGCCCAGGTAATTCCCTTCTGGTACACTGTATACATTGTGCCAGGAACAGAAATACTGGCATCGCGACACTTGTAGTATGACAGTGGGGTCTGCAATTATATTACACATCAACTCACCGATTACCCATGTCAGGCCAATTTAGGTAATACAGTGTATACTGTATATTGCATATTCACACACTACGTTGTCACGTATCTGTCCACCATTCAGTTAAAATGAAAATGCCCCTACGTCTTTTTTCCAGAACACTGAACTAACTAGTCCGAGGGTAACATGTGGCGACCCACCAAAAAGCTTGCCGTTTAACCCGCTAATAGACTCTGAATAGATTCCCCCTGGGGAAGTATTCAAGTGGATCGGCCATATTTGACCCTCGGGGTATCAGGACAGCCCCCCCCCCCCCCGGACGATCCCCCTCCCCCTAAGAATATATATATGTATAATCAAATATATAGTAACAGTATAAAGTTTAAAACATTCCATCCATTTTATTTATAATTTAGTGTGATAATACAACTTCATCATTAAACAAATTATTTTGTATTATCACACTAAAATTATAAATAAATGGATGAAATGTTTTAAACTTTATACTCTTTACTATATATTTGCATATAAATATATCTTGGGGGGAATCGTCTGGGGGGATTGTCCCGGGGGGAATTGTCCGGGGGGGGGTTGTCCAAGAATCGAGCCTAATCCACTGTTCTGAATGCGGTCTAAAATGTCATACCTTTGTCTGCACCATTTGCGGTCTGGATGCTCGCAATAACTGAACAATTCGGAAAATGTCGATCTTTCCTTCGGCCAACGCTTGTTCTAAAAGGTAGTCCAGTGCAATGAAAGTACCAGTGTTGCCAACCCCGGCGCTAAAAAGGAGCGAGACAAATAATTTTAATAGCAGAGGTTTTTCAACTCTATCCTTTTCTTTGTTTGCATATGCAGGAGGACACTCGCTCATTGTACAGAGTAGCATATATATCAGTTGTCGTGAAAAATTCACTTTTAATGAATAAAAAACATAAACTGTTGAAGATTAAAGTATATTAAAAGCAAGAAATTAAAACTACATTTCACCTGCAGTGCACAATGATAGGCCCCTGGTCATAAACTTGGCTTTCTTACTTTTTAACTTCCTCTCGAAATTTAACCAAAGCCGTAGGGTCAACAGGCACGCCTTCATCAGGCCAACCGGTGAAGTGGAACTGTTTCACAGTACGGGTTGTCTGGTCTTCTTTCTTAAGTCAGATAAATTCATCCAGAGTTTTATAAAGTAAATAACAACACCCCTCGATATTAATAACATGCTAACAAGTATCAATATTTATATTTCGGGCACGTGTTTAATAAGCTCAACGGATTTGGTTAAAGAAAGAAATGTGTGTGCCTGCATGACGATATTGTTATGACAACTCTTACATGTATGTATGCTTGGTTACACTGTGCTTACTTTACGGTACTGTAGATTTCGGACTAAGAAATCCTGTCCGTGAACTTCATTCATTGTGGTCACTTCTATTTCGCCAAACTGCTTCACTCCCTCGTCTGCCCAGTACTGCTCACATTTTTGCTGAGCCGAAAAAACGGGATGCCACGTTACATATGCATGTATAGGGGTTAATATTAAAATAATCTGGATATATTTGAATACGCACGGTTTATTCTTATGACTGTCAAACGTTAGAAAACATAACATTTTGCAGTTCTATTTAATGAGCCTTTTGCTTAACCTAATGCTTAAAATATAAAATATTTTTACGATTATTTATTGGCATACCTTGCCCATTTCTACAGTTTTCGTCAACATTACAATTTGTGGAGACTTGACTCGCCATATCATCCGCCAGAAGTCGTTTACGGTATTCGGTTTTGGACCTGAAGTAAACTATTAATTATTTTTTTCTAGAAATGAAATCATTTATTTACATCTACTATGGCAAGTAACAAATTATTTTAACAAACATGCAGTGTACAGTTGGTTCCAAATTGGAATTCATTAATTCGCGTAATGTTGATTAGGCCTTATAGGGGGCGTGCGTGTGAGAGAGGTCAGCTATCATTTAACTATTTAAAGTTACAGTTACCCTGTGCAGCAATGAATGCACGTGGTCTGCTATATCCCTGAAAAATTGAAATATAATAGTGAAGTATGGCTTTAATCGTTGGCTTCATTATTTCGTTTACCGCAGCAATTTCGTTATCAAGTAATATATATTTACAGATAAAAGTGAACCAATCAAAAAAAAAAAAAAAAAAAAAAAAAAACTGCCAATACCATTCCCGATTATGCAGGGATTAAATAACTATCAAATGTTGATAATAACAAATTTCATTTGGCCCATACCATATATGTTAGTACTTGTATGTAGAGTGCATTGGACGAACGTGAGATGATATAACAAAATACATTTATTTGAACTACTTACATCAATATAGCTTGCATTGATGTAGTCAGAGTTGGGATCATCTGGCAAAAGGTCCAATACAACTCGGCTATGGTCATCTAATGAAAAATAAACATTTGTATAAAATTGGACGTAAGCACATTGTGTTATTTATTTAGGTAAAGCGCATAACTTAAATTTGTTTTATGTATACAATTTATATATATGTTCATATATATAATTTCTATAAGATCGAACAAGCAATTTCCTTGTTATATTACTCTGTGTTCGCACATGTACTGCAAGTACTGCAGCATTAAAAAGATAATAAGCTGAATTTTTTTACTGTAGAAAATTCAAATTTGACGGCTTACATGGCATAATGCTCTGAAACCTGTTCTTTAGTTTGTTTTCTCGTTTTTGGCCGGCTTTACAAGGGCTTTTCAAGGTGATGGGACATTTCTGAAAAAAACATCCAAAACGTATAAACTGACCTAATAACAGTACAACAACACTTTAACATTTGTTTATTGCACACTTTATATCAGTAAATAGGAGTAAGAAATTTTTTTTATGATTTCACCAATGTGTATTAAAACGTGGACAAATCATACCTGATACTCGTCGATAAGAATATCTCTGGTTTTCAATCTCATGACCTGAAAGATGTCCTCGACAGGAATTTCTGTGTTTTCTTTGATACTGCTATAGAGAAGCTCGTCTTCTGTGTTTTCATACAGACTTTAAACCGGAGATTCATATACATGGTCATCTAGATCTGAAGCTAAAAATTCACAGCAAGGAGATAATGGGATCTACTTTTTAATCAAGTGCGTGTAGAATTAAAGCTGCTGGACACAATAGATTTTATTGAAAATAAATACCTTCTTTTCTCTGCAATTCAGAAAAGGCATCAACTTCATAAAGCTCTTGAGTGCGTCGTCTTCTGCAAAAGAAGTTTACAAATAATGGTAAGAGTCTTGAACAGGCTTTGACTTCCACATGTACAACATAATTAAGGATTTAATGTTGCCTATTTGTAAAATTTTAGATGACTCAATTTGATGTGTTGGGCCGCATTTGCAACATACAATTTAACTGTATCATAAGGTTATCTAATTTCATATTTCTCTAAAGTGCCATAGTGCATACATGTTAATATTGCTTTATGTATACTAAGGTTATGAAGTTCTTGTTCATGATATATGCGGCTACAAATATACATAATAACGTATTTTTACATTTACATTTGTTTATTTAAGCACTATCTATCGTAATCTACGAAGGTTTACCTTTTGTATATGACAACAATGACCACAAGTACCGCCACCAGGACAAGAACCCCCAACACACCTCCTGCTACAGCGCCACCATTTATACCTGTGACACGGACATTACATTACATTATAGCAAGGGAAAACATCCTACATGCAGTTGGAAACTTACACCGTTTAAATAAAACCATTTAAAAAAAATAAGGAAAAATTAAACTTTGAGTCTAAAACATGAAGGACTTTATTCTCAAACTGTGTAGCACGATGCCCACACAGAATTCCCGAGGGTACATGTAGCTATGACAGTGACGTTGTGATACCTTTTTCGTCCGTTGTTGCCCATAGCCGACAGCAGTTTTGCAGCGGATCTAAAATGACAAACGCTAACGGTGGGGGAAAACAGTATATAGAAGCATAAGGGTTACAGTGCAAAACCGCATGAACTTGTCGTTTTTTTTTGTTTTTTTTTTTTTTCATTAAACACACATAAAGCGATACTTCCGTCATTAAAATATCTTGGATGAGGGTATGAAATATACTCACTCGAAGCAAGTACGTGGACTTGAACCGCAAATTGCCAATAGTTATACCAGTAATGTCTGCAGCAGTCACCGTCTCATTCCACAGACTGGACTGTTGAGTGCACGATATCTCGTAACTGACGATAACGCCACCTGGAGGGAACGGCGCACGCCATGTTATCTTTATAAAGTCGTCTCCAGTAGATGTCACCTCTGGTGCTGCCATCTTTGGTGGAACTGTAACACCCAATAAATTGTATTATGTAAACTCACCACCAAAGCTTATCCATAATAAAACCTCCTGCATATGGCTCATTTACAATAAATAGGGTAAGAAAATTTAAAAGAAGGCCTTACCCCCTTCAGGTGTTGTATGAGTCACTGTCACTGGTGGCCCTGGCAATTTTAAGTTGTTAAACGCTGTCAGGTAGATGGTGTATTTACTATATGTCATGAGGTTGGTAATAGTAATCGACTGTGTTTCGTTGACATGCAGCACTCCCATCGTGCCACTGTGATGGTATTCTCCCTCAAATCGAACAGTCAAATTTGCAAACCCATCGCATCTATGGATATCTTGGTTCATCCCCTAAAATCAATGAATTCTTTTGATTTCTTTTGAAAAAGAATAGACAGGTTAAATCCAACGATATAAGCTTAAAATACAGCAGATTTGGGCCTCGGTTATACAATGGACCATAAAACTAGCATAGTTACTTCTTCTATCCGTCGTTTAATTTAAAGATAATCACACATTTATTTCCCTGAGTCACTAAGGCTGTATTCCCAGAGATTTTAGATCGATCTATCCTTGCGGGGAGTCTCACTAGATTATTGTCAGATAATCCGGCTTAAAAGTCCGTCCCGCCTATTACAAGCTGTAAGGGGGTAATTAACTTTCCTGTCCGCTCGGCTGACAGCTATTTAGCGTGAACCCCCAGGGAGTTAGGTCGCTCTAAAGTAGATCGATCTAATCTCTGGAAATGGGGTCTAAGCCGTGGGTAACGCTCTCTGGGATGTTCTCAAACTCGTGTCTTCGAATATATTTTAAAAATAACTCTGCACCCAAGTGCATTGAGAACATCTCTCAGAGAAGCACGAACTCCGCTTTGCTACATGTACTACATTCACTTAACGATATACGTGTATGACACAGTGTATTAATGTGGTGTACGCACCGTTGTGCCTATCTGTATTTTAGTTGATCTTTTTGACGGGGCAAGAAAAGATTCGACGTTTGGTTTCGGTGGTGTCACAGGTTCTGAAAAATGATTTTAAAAAATTGAAATGTCTAAACCAATATATAAAAGCCTGTGGTATTTTCGTATATAATTCTTATATAACAAATGACCTTATTTATCGCAAACAAAAAGGCAAGCCAATCGCGGGGACAATATCATAATTACCTCCACATGTTCTTGCAGTGGTTGGTGAGCTAGGAAAACCCTGATATCCTGCATTACTCTTGATAGTTACAGTGACATTATATTCTGTGTACTGAGAAAGATTTGTGATATTAGTTGTATGGTTTGCTGCTGATACTGTTACGTTGATGGGAAGGTCATTCTGCCGCCAAAATCTAATGACGTAGCTGTGAACACTATAGTATATACCATCCCCTGATTGGGTCGGCGGTGACCACTTTTGCCACCTTATGGTGAGTGAATTGTTTGTCCTATTGACCAATTCTGGTGCTGTGGCTAAATGAGGGAGTGAAGATGTTTCTGCAAAATAAAATAAAATAAGATAAAATAAAACAATAATTAGAGAGCAAAAATAAAAATATTTTTTGGAATTTAATTCACAATGATATTTCAACATAGTCTTTTATGCTGCGTTAGAGTATAGCATACGTTATGGAAGGCTAGATGGCAGTGCAATGAAATACTTTATCTCAACTTAGAGTGTCAGATAATTGTGCACAAAGATTAAAAAAAGGAGATGCGTAGTTTCCTGAGATACTGCCTTTTACATACCGACTTGACATGTCCCATGATGTCCCTGCCAGCCTTCAGCACAGCCAGATGTACAGACTCCATACACGGGATGACACTGTTCATTGGTATCTCTACAGTTACAGCGATATCTACATTCAGGACCAAGGTGTTTATTTGTACATTCTGAAATGAAATATATCACAACTTTTCTGTATAAAACTTGTCACTCTTTCAGTAGTATTGGTGTTATCAAACTTAACAAACAGCAACATCTAGACGATATTTTGAGACAATTACATGTCCAACAGAATAAAAAAAACGTTTTCTATCAAATCCCGGCCACTGTAAACAATCTTTAACTGAAACGAATTTTGCATGAACATTTGAACCATAATACAAATATCAACATGCATTTCGTAAATAGCTTCAACAGATTTGACATTTCTATAGAATATAATGACAATACTAGTAAGGACAACGAATGTGCACTTAATGCTTAAAAATATCAAAGTGGTTGGATATTTACCTTCATATTTATACCCTTTTATAGTAACTTCACAGAGTATTAAAGGGGCGGTGTACTGCAGCTGGACAAACAGGACTTGACCAATATACGGAACTTGACATGACAACTCTATGCTTCCACCACGAGGCACTTGGGGACCATATAATGCACATACGCCTCTGCTGTTGGTTTCTGTGCTGTTACGTACGAAAACTTTTATATCACGTAAATTCTTGCCGGCTGAAAGGTTAAACGGAATTATACTACTCAAAAGAAGCTGGGGAACACGTAGAAAAGCAGGAATTAGGGTACAAAAGAACGTTTATTGTCCAATAGCTAAAAACGTAAAAATAACA